CCCACCTTCCACCACCCGCCACCTGCGACCTTTTTTTGGGCAGCCATCGAACAACAGCTCCTCACCCACCCCACCCTTGGACTTGCGCAGAACATGTCGGCTGCTGCTGCTTCGGCGTCCAATGCGGGTGCGTCCAACGCAGGTGGAAACGTGGAGATCGACGAGGACCTCCAATCGCGCCAGCTGGCGGTGTACGGGCGTGAGGCCATGATGCGGCTCGCCAAGTCCAAGGTGCTCATCACGGGCATGGACGGGCTCGGAGCTGAGATTGCCAAGAACGTGATTCTGGCCAACGTCGGCAGCGTGACACTCCACGATACGGCCGAAGTTGCCATTGCTGACCTTGGAGCTCACTTTTACCTCAAGGAGGAGGATGTGGGCAAGAACCGTGCCGAGGCGTGCCTGGGCGAGCTGCAGGAGCTCAACCCGTCGGTGATGACTGTGGCGTCGCAGCGCGACCTCGAGCCCAAGTTCCTTGCCGAGTTCCAGATTGTGGTCTGCGTCTCGACGCCGCTCGCCGAGGCCTGCCGCATCAACGAGTACTGCCGGTCTGCGCGCCCGCCGATTGCCTTTGTCTACACCTCTGCATACGGCCTTGCCGGCGCGGCGTTCTCGGACTTTGGCCCCGACTTTCCGGTCTTTGACTGGTCGGGCGAGGCCAAGAAGTCTGCGATTGTGGCCAAGATCAGCCAGGCGAACCCTGCGGTGGTGACGTGCGTGTTTGACAAGAACGACCCGCACTCGCGACACGACCTTGCCGAGGGCGAGGTTGTCGAGTTTGCCGAGGTCAAGGGTATGACCGAGCTCAACGGCAACGCGTACACGGTGAAGGAGGTGATCAATCCGTGGATGTTCTCGATCGAGGTCGACACGACCGGCTTTGGCGAGTACTTTGACGGCGGCCTGGTGACCGAGAAGCGCATGCCGCGCTTTATTCCGTTCCGCTCGCTCCGCGAGACGCTGCACTCGCCGGGCGAGTTCCTTGTTTCGGACTGGGGCAAGTGGGGCCGCCCGGCCCTGCTCCACCTCGCGCTGCAGGCGCTCGACGCGTACCGGACCGAGCACGGAGGCGCTTACCCTGCGCCCGGCGACGCCGCGGCCGGCGACGCCGTCGTGGCCGCTGCCACCGAGCTCAACGCTGCCAAGCTCGCCGACCTCGATGCCGAGGCCGCGCGGCTGGAGGCGCAGAGCAAGGCGCTGGGCGCGGCGCTCGATGCCATGGACGCTGCGGCGCTCGGCCTCGACGTCGAGGGCTCGCCCGAGGCTGCGGCTGGGCTGAGCGCGGCGCGCACTGAGGTCGAGGCGCAGCTCAAGGCTGTCCGCGACCGGCAGGGCGCCATGGGCTGGGAGCGCATCGACGAAGTCGACGAGGCCACGCTGCGGAGCGTGGCATCGGGCTCGTCGGCCGTCCTCAACGCCATGGCCGCCTTTCTGGGCGGGCTCGTCGGGCAGGAGGTGGTCAAGGCCGGAACGTCCAAGTACATGCCGCTCAACCAGTGGTACCACTTTGACGCGCTCGAGTCGCTGCCGGCCGAGGCTGTCGACCCGGCCAGCCTTGCGCCGCGCGGCTCGCGGTACGACGCCATGACTGCGGTCTACGGCGCCGAGCTGGTGGAGAAGATCCGCAACCTCAAGTACTTCCTTGTGGGCTCGGGCGCGCTTGGCTGCGAGTACCTCAAGAACTTTGCTCTCACCGGCGTGGGCACCGGCCCCGACGGCGAGGTTATTGTCACTGACGACGACGTCATCGAGCGGTCGAACCTCTCGCGGCAGTTCCTCTTCCGCAACTGGCACGTCAAGAAGTCCAAGTCGCTGAGCGCGTCCGAGGCGGCGATGGCCATGAACCCGGAGTTCAAGGTCAAGGCTCTGCAGGAGCGGGTCTCGCCGGACACCGAGAACATTTTCAACGATGCGTTCTGGTCCTCGCTCTCGGGCGTGTGCAACGCGCTCGACAACATCAAGGCGCGGCTGTACGTCGACGAGCGGTGCGTGTTCTACGGCAAGTCGCTCCTCGAGTCGGGCACGCTCGGGCCCAAGTGCAACACTCAGGTTGTCGTCCCGCACCTGACCGAAAACTACGGCGCGTCGCGCGACCCGCCGGAGCGCGAGGCCCCGCAGTGCACCATCCACAACTTTCCGCACACCATCGAGCACTGCCTCGTGTGGGCCAAGTCGGAGTTTACTGGCCTCTTTGAGACCTCGCCGGCCGAGGCGCAGAAGGTCCTCGACCTCGGTTCAGTCGATGCCTACGTCGAGACGATGCAGGCTTCGGGCGCCGGCATCGGTGACATCCTCAACAACCTGCGTGGTGACGAGACATGGGGCGGCGGCGTGACCGACATGCTCAACGACGTCCCGGCGTCGTACGACGACTGCGTCAAGTGGGCCCGCCACAAGTGGCAGATCTACGCCTCAAACATGATCCGCCTCCTCATCCACGTCTTCCCCGAGGACATGCTCACCTCTGAGGGCGGCCGGTTCTGGACTGCGCCCAAGCGCTTCCCCACCCCGCTCGAGTTTGACCTCGCTGACGACATGACCTTCCAGTTCCTCCGTGCCGCCTCGCTCCTCCGGGCCTCCACCTTTGGCATCAACAAGCCGGCGTCGGTGACCCGCGAGACCATTGCCGCTGCCCTCGCCTCGTACTCTGAGCCTGCCTTTGACCCCGCGGCGCTCGGCGACGTCAAGATCGAGTCGGACCCCAACGCTGAGGCCGGCGCCGCCGAGGGCACCGACGACGACATCTCCACCGTCGTCGCCGCCATTGCGCCCATCCCCGAGGTCAAGGCCAAGACCACCACCCTCTACCCGGAGGTGTTCGAAAAGGACGATGACACCAACCACCACATCGCCTTTATCCAGGCCCTCGGCTGCCTCCGCGCCCGCGCTTACGCCATCGCCGAGGTCGACATGCTCAAGGCCAAGCTCCTCGCCGGAAACATCATTCCGGCCATCGCCACCGCCACCGCCATGGCTGCAGGCTGCTGCATGTTTGAGCTGGTCAAGCTCGCCCAGGGCCTCCCCGTCGACGCCTACCGCAACTCGTTCTTCAACCTCGGCGTCATGGCCTTTTCTGCCGCCGACCCCATGCCGCCGGCCAAGATCACCTCTCGCCAGGAGACCATCAAGCCCGACCCCGAGAACTACCCGGACTATGAGGAGGAGCGCGACATCATCGCCTTCCCCGACCCGCACACCGCATGGGACGCCGTTGTCATCGACATTGGCGCCGCAGGCACCGTCGCCGACGTCCTCGCCTACTTTGACTCGCACAACCTCTCGGTCATGTCCATCGCCGTCAACGGCGGCCTCATCTACCGCGCAGGCGCCTCGGGCGACGCCGTCAAGGGCAACGTCTTTGTCGACCACGTTGCCGAGAAGGTCGGCGCAGACGCCTCGCGCGGCTTTGTCGTCATCGAGCCGCTCTGCGAAGGCGCCGACATGCAGGAGATCGAGTTCCCGCCGCTGGTCCTGGTCAAGGTCTCGGACGGCTACGCCCTCTCCCGCACCGCCACCACGTCGATGGGCAAGCCTGTGGATGCGTAAGTGGCTGCTTATCATGCCATCATTGAACGAGTGACCTGTGTTGCCTCCCCCCCATGGCTGTGCCCTTGTGTGCGTGTCACCCACCTGCCTGCCCAGCTTTTGCAACCCCCACCCCACTCTCCACCATGTCAGGCTTTGTCGGCAAGCTCAGCTTGCACGTCCTCTGGGGCCGCGACCTCTACCGCGGCCCCCAGGCGACATGACCCAGGGCCCGGCCTCGCCGTACGTCGTCGCCCGCTACGGCGGCAAGAAGCGCAAGACGCCTGTGGCGGCCGACGACGCCCAGCCGTACTGGGACACCGTGCTGACGTTCAACCTCGCCAAGACAGAGGACCAGCTGCTCGAGCTCGAGGTCCGCGACAAACGCACCCTCCGCGACAAGTCGGTCGGCTACTACGCCCTTGATCTCCGCCGCGTCCTCTCGCCCGCAGGCGCCGAGGAGTGGTTCACCCTCGGCCCGCGCCCGGGCAAGCCGGCCGAGTCTGCCCGCGGCGCCCTCTACCTCGCCATCTCCTTCTCCAAGTTTGTCGTCCGTGTTGATCGCGCCTTTGACCTCCCGCCCCCCAACCGCACCGGCAATGCCTACGCCACACTCTCGCCGCTCGATGCTGCCGTGGGCGCCGCAAGCTTCCGCGCCGGCCCTGGGTCGAGCGACCCGCAACGCAGTCCGGACACAGGTGCCGAGCCGGGGGCCGCCGGTGCCATCGGTCGCGACACCTACGTCTACCTCCGCTACGGCTCGACCAAGGTCAAGGGCGCTGTTGTGCCCGCCTCGCTCTCGCCCGTCTACGGCGAGACCTTCCACTTTCCCTACGTCCCCGGTGCACCTTTGATCGACATCGAGCTTTGGTCGCGCGGCACACTCTCCGACTCCTCGCTTGGCAAGGTTGTTCTCTTCCTCTCTGACTTTGCTGATGGTGAGGTCGACGACTCGTGGTACCGACTCGTCCCGTGCGACGCGAGCAAGGCGGTGTCGGGCTCGCTCCGCCTCCAGGTCCAGGCCTTTACGCTCCCGGACGAGCTTGCGCCATCCTGGATGCCGGTCTCGGGCGCCGCTCCTGATGACGCCAGCCTCTTTGGCATCGCCTCGCACTCACCACCGCCGTCACCGGGCTCGGGCACTGTGCCGTCTGCCGAGCCAGCAGCTGCCGATTTCACCACATCCCATCCTGCCGAGTGGTGTGCAGCCCAGCTCCGGAGCTGGCTGGCAAGCCTCGGCCTCGAACACGCGCACGCGCACGTTGTCGCCAGCGGGGTGTCTCCCGCACAGCTCGCCGATGCATCGACCATCGACCTCGCTGCCCAGCTCGACGTCCGCATGCCCACCGCCAAGCGCGCCTTTCGCTCGCTCCAGGAGCTCAAGGTTGCCTTTGTCAAGTCTGCCCCACCAGAGCTCCTTGCCACTGCGCCGTCCCATCTAATTCTTGCCCCGTCGACGTCGCGCCCATCGTCGCTGGCATTGCCGGACGACTTGGACGTTATGACTCTCCCTTTTGCCGCCGCCGAGCCCAGCGATGTGGCCGCTAATGGCAGCGATGGGGAGGACGACGTGTGCTCGTCTTCATCGTCTTCGTTCTGGACCACCTCGTCTGATGATGACGACGATGGAGACGGCGATGGCGATGGCAGCTCTGCTGCCGCTAGCTCGGCACCGCCGACGACTCCCTCCACCACCTCACCTCTCCCCGACGCCATCCCGGCTGCGACCACCAGCAGCGGCGCCGTCGCGCTTCGCATCATTTCTGGTCGTGAGTACGTCCATGCTTCCGGCATCGAGCTGGACAAGGCCAGCACGTACGTTGTTGCTACATGCGGCTCGGCCAAGGTCCGCTCCGTGACCGTCGCTGAAGAGTTTCTGCCCGTCTACAACACGCCGGCCTGGTTCCGCCTCGCGGACGCTGCACCTGCCCCGACGGCCGCGTCGGTATCAACTTCGACATCTTTCGGGCCAAAACGCTCGGCTCTGAGCCTATCGGCTCGGCCTTTGTTGCTGTGGATGATCTGCCGACCAACGGCAGCGCCTATGACGGGTGGCTCGAGGTGTGTGCGCCGTCCGACGGCGATGCGGCGGGGCCGGTTATCGGCGGCCTCCGGATCCATGCTGTGGTCTCGCGGCTGCGCCTCGCGCTGCTCGCTGCGCGCGGCCTCGGCACCACCGTCGGCGCTGCAGGAGGCCGCGAGCGTGAGCTACGGGTCTTTGCCACCCTCCGCTACGGCTCGCAGCATGCCGAGACGCCAACAGTCGACGCCGTGCGCGGTGGCCAGGTAGACTGGAACGCACCAGCCGTCGAGCTCTGCCCCGAGCCCGGCGCTACCTTTGTCACCGTCAGTGTCTGGGCCCGCGGCTCGCTCTCCAACACCCACCTTGGTTCGATTCGGCTCCCGTTGGAGCGCTTTGACGACGCCGTCCGGCACATTGGCTGGGCCTCGCTCTCCCGCCGCAAGCCGTCCGAGCCCGAGCTCGACCCACACTTTGCCCAGATCAAGATCGCCGTCGCGGCCGCCGCCCTCCCCGCCTTCGTGCTCCACTGCCGGACGCCGGTGACTCACCACGACGACGGCGAGATCCTTGGCCAGGTCGGCGACAGCAGCTGTGGTACCGGCTCCGGCAACGACACCGACATCGACGTGGCTGCAGCCACCGCCGCCGCACGCCTTGGCCTTGCTTCGCCCAGTGGGCCTGCGCCCGACAAGCCACTGCCGTCGCTCCCACCGCGGCTGGAGAAAGCCAACTCGACGCCGGCCATGCCGCGGCCGGCCGACGGCGATTCGCCATCCGGGCACCGCCACCGCCACCGCCGCCGCCGCCGCGTTGGCTCGGGCTCAGCTGCGCGCGATCACTCGTCTCGCTCGCCGTCGTCGTCCTCGCGGCCGCGTGCACGCACCGGCTCCAAGACTGCGGCTTCTCGGGCCCGCCACGGCTCACGCGGGACTAAGGATGCGCTCAACCAATCGCGCTCGTTCTGGGACTGGTAGTCTGGGACATGTGTTATTTGCTCTGATCCTCACACCACCGACCAGCAACAGCCGAGAACTGTCGGCAATTGCACGAGGTGACGTGCTAGGAACCAGTCCATGTACCTGAGCAGGGACCGCACCTCGGAACTCGAGCAGGCATGTGGCGGCGGCTAGGCGGAGCAGATCATGCGGGCCAGCTCCTCGTAGTTGACCCATCCGTTGGGGTCGGGCTGCGCGTCTTCGACCATCGACTGCATCTCCTCGCGGTTAAACTTGTCGCCGTAGCGCGTCATGGCCTCTGTCAAGGTCTTGACCTGGATAAAGCCGGTGCCGTCCTTGTCGAAGAGCTTGAACGAGGCGATGACGTCCTCCGCCGACGGTGGCTTGGACGTCACCCGCGAGGCCATCAGCTGGCAGAACGAGTCGAACCGGATCATCCCACCCTGTCCGATCTGCTGCGCCATCTTGTTGATCTCTGCCGGCGGGTAGTTCTGGCCCAGGTCGCGCAGTGCCGCCCCGAGGTCGGCATACCGGATGCCGCCGCCCTTCTCATGGGCCGCAAACACCTGCAACATGTGTGGGGGGGCAGGGGATGAATGTGAGTGAGTATGCATGTATGTATGTGTGTGTATGTGTGTGTGTGTGTATGTGTGTGTGCGTGTGTGTGTGTGTGTATGTATGTTTGTGTGTATATGTGTGTGTATGTATGTGTGTGTGTGTGTGTGTGTGTGTGTGTGTGTTGCCTGAGCACCTTGGCCGAGTGTCCCCCTCCCTCCTCCTCCCCCCTCCTCCCCTCACCCTCCCCTCCTCCTCCCCCTCTCCCTCCTCCCCCCCCCCTCCCTCCCACTCCCCCCCTCCCCTCCTTTCACATACTGCACGGTACTCATTCATCTGCTCGTCGTCGGCCATGGTGCTCTGCAGGCGTCAAGTCTTACCACAGTTCACCCTCCACCAGCAGACCACCCACCACCCGCAAGCGGCAGTTACCACCACCACCACCAACCACCACCACCACCACCACCACCACCACCAACCACCACCACCACCACCGTTACACCCCACCTCACCCCACCCCACTTCACCACCACACTCCCCTCCCTCCTGAACAAAGCCCCTCTTACTCCCTCCCGGCCACACCGCCATGACCGCCCCACCCGCCGTGTACGCCACCTGTACCTCCCTCCCCCCCTCCCCACGCATACACATCACTCACATCACTCACATCGGCCTCATCCAGCTTTGCCTTTGAGGACCTCTCAGACTCCACGTCAAGCAGACAGACAGAGCCGATGCGCGCTCGGCGTACCGGACGCACGACTCCGGCCGAGGCAGAGTACGATGACGCCTCAACGGTCCTCTCATCATCGGCTGCATGGGCATCCGAGTCGGCGGCGAGCACGCACTCGCTGCTGACAATGACAAAGTCCACAGGTGCGCTGCCAGGAGAGACCAAGTTTGAGCGTTCGCTTCAGCGGACGCCACGGCGGTCGTCGCAGAGTACGCCGCGGGCGCGGGCGCGGGCACGGGCGCGGTCGAGATCAAGCGCAAGCCCCGACACAACCCCTCGGCCCCGCTCGCGGCCGCGTGCCGCGGTGTCCACTGTCCGCACAAAGCGATCACGGACATCGTACAAAGCATTCGCGGCCGGGCTGGATGAGAGGATGAAAGCACGGACCGGCCCGCGAGTTGTCGACAACAGCGCCACAAGGTGGATCCGTCGCCGCCGCCCGCCGCCGCCGTCGCTTGACGGCGCCGCCAAGCCTGGAAACTGGCAGGCGACGCCCGGGCCGGGCGACTACGCTGACGGCGCTGCCGCATCGACGCTCTCCAAGCGTCTCGATGCCGCAGACCGGACGCAGGCCGACCGACAAGCGGCGTGCCGCGCTCCTCGCGTGGCGAAAGACATCAACGCCGGGCCCGGGCGCGTACCGCAACGCCGCGCCGTCGACGCTCAAGCCGTCGTCAACCGGCGTCTCCATCCCGCGATCGGCGCTCTCGTCGCATGCAGCCTTTGACTGGGCCAAGTTTGGATGATGTGGACCTGCGGCTAGTGCTGCAATCAGCGCCCGTCCGCACAAGATCCGCCCTCTCCCGCACTTTGTCCCCATCGAACGAACAGCTGAAGTTGCGGAAGGAAAGAGTCTAGACCGAGCGCGGGTCCCGGCAGGCAGCCGGAACTACAGGCTCGCCTTGATTGTCCGCATCACTGTCAACCGTCCTCTTCCCGCACGCCGATCTGCGGCAAACCATTCAAAGCAGAACCCTTACCTGTCCTCCCTAGCCGTACCCTGTACCTTGGAACCGCTTTGCCTCCCACTACAGGCCCGGCGGCATTGGGCGAGTCGGCTAGGTGGCCGAGCTGAGCCGCACTTGAAGGTACACACGTGCTGGACATTGGATACGCGAAAACGTTTCGCCTCCCTTTTTTTGCTCCACCACCGACGCACACCTCTCCGTCTCACAGGGGAGGCACGTCCTTTCTCCTCTTCTTCCGCACCGCTGTCCACCATGCAGGCTTCGGTACAGGCGCCAGTTGTCCTGGCCCCCGAGGCCCGCCCAGTCCTTGCAAATGCCTTCCATAGTCTGGTCCTTCTCGGTACGCCCCTTGCAAGCCCCCCCCCCCCCCCCCCTGCCCGCCTCTTGGCCGTCACGCCCGTGTCGCACCCGGACGCGTGGCCACTTGGACGCGTGGCCGATGCTTTGCCACCCGGTCGCTCCCGACCCCCCCCCCATACCTCCTCCTGCATCCCGTCATTGCCCCTGGACACCACAAACCACCCTACGCGCTAGTGCGGGGTACCGCCCCCCTATTCCCGGGGTTAACCCTGTATCCTCCCGTCCTCAACGCCTCCCAACCCGGACCCCGTACGCCCGCCCCAGGCTGTGCTGATCGGTGGTGGAGCTGGTTTTATTCGGCGGCCTCTGTCTTTCCGCCCAGCCGCTATCTGCCGCCGGGTCATCTCCGCAATTTCCCGCCCCCCAGCCGCTCCCGAACCTGCCGCTCCTCCTCCTGGCGCAACAGCGGCTGTCTCGGTTGTTGCGAGACGCCGAGCCTATGCCCCATGTCTAGAGCATGTCTCTCGCTCTGCTGTGGGCAAAACACCGACTCTGCTTTGCCGCTCGCCGGCTGTGACGTAGCTGACTCGGCCGCCGCTCGTGCGGGGTTTTGCACGCGTTGGCAATATCTCAATTTTCTGCATTTTTTAGCCACGCGCCACTCTCTGCCCTCCCACCCCCTCCCACTCACTCGGTCAAGGGCGGCAGGGTCCAACGTTGCGTTCCTCGACCTCTCCCAGGTCACCATGCACCTGCCAGCGGCGCCAGACAACGGCGAGCGCGAGCCGCTGGAGCCTGGCGAGATGGAGGTGGATCTCGACGCGCTCATCCGCGACGGAGTGCGACGGGCGTTGGTCGACCGAAAGCCGAGCGAGGCGCTCGTGGACGAGCCAGAGGCGTCGGACGACGGCTCGCTCGAGTCGTCAACAACGTTCACCTCGGAGTCGTCCGAGTCGCTGTGGTCGTCAGCCACGTCTGGCGAGCGGAGCGAGACCAGCTCCGAGTCTGCAGGCACCACGCCGCGGCTTGCCCTCATCAACCTCGAGCCGCTGCTGCTCTCGTTCTCCATGTTCCGCAACCGCGACTACTGGGGCCCTGTGGCGCTGCCTGTTGTGCTCGAGTCGTACGTGGCCGAGCAGCTGTCCAAGGCTTGCGCCGACGCGCCAGGCGCATCCAAGGTCACGTACGTTTTCTACCTGGCTTGCACCGGGTTTTGGGTCCACCTCGAGCGTGCTCGCGGGCTGACCAACGCGGCCACCGTGGCCGCCTCACTGGCCATGCTCATGGACGGCGAGCTGCGTCCCGAGGCTGTCGAGTCAGCCTTTGCGCCCATCTCTGACCGGTTCCTTCCGTTCAAGGACGCGTCATCGTTCCAGTCGTGTTACGACGTGACTTTTGGCGACACGGTGCGTGCCTTGTCGCGTGCGCTCCGCCACGGCCTCGTTCCCGCGTCGTGGTCCAAGCTCCCTTCGCACCTCCCGTCGCCGCGCCACTGGACCGCCACAGATACGGTGGTCGACTACAACTGGATTGTCGCTGGCAAGCTCATCGGTTTTGCGGGCCCCTCGCTCTCGGCTGCCCGGCCGTCGACGCCGGCACACTTTACTCCGCTCCTGCAGCGGGTTGGCGTCTCGGCCATTGTCCAGCTCAACGGTGATCCCAAGACCTACGAGGCGGCCGACTTTGTCGAGCGCGGATTTGCCCACTACGATCTGTGCTACAAGGACGGCTCGGTCCCGCCGGCCGGGGTTGTTCCACAATTCTTGCACATCTGCGATACCACCGATGGCATCGTAGGCCTCCACTGCCGCATGGGTGTCGGCCGGACCGGCACCCTCGCCGCCGCCTACATGATGTATCGCTACCGGTTTTCGGCCCGTGACGCCATCGCCTTTATCCGTCTCGCCCGCGCCGGCACCGTCGTCGGTATCCAGGCACTCTACCTTGAGAAAGTCCAATCGACGCTGTGGACCGCCGGCGAGGCTGTCCACGCCGGCGCCGAGCTCGACGACCTCTCGCCCATCTCGTCGCCTCGCGACGCCCACGACGGGCCTGCCATGCACGTTGCCGCCCCGGTCCGCCCCTCGGCAGTCCCGCGCCTGGCGCTCACAGCCCTCGCCGACAGGGACAGCTTCGGGCCAGCGGCCCCGTCGGGCTCGTCTGCCACCGCCGGCCGCTCCGCCTCTAAGGGCCGCGCCAAGGCCGAGGCCAAGACCTCGCCGGTCTTTGACTACTCGTTTACTCCGGAAATTTCGCAGGACGAAGTGGCGCTTTGGACGCGCCGCAACCAGCGAATCTCCATGATCTATCACCTCAACACCCGCGTCGGTCGCGCAGCGCTGTTCATCACTCTCCTCAACGCATACGACTCGCTCGTCGCCGCTGTCCCATCACTCATCGACGCCCGCCCTGCCAACCTGCTGCCGCGCCTCATCAAGGCCGTCAACGCCGAGCAGCAGCAGGCTCTGCCCGAGCCACAGGCTGCCCGCCCGCCCTCGCCGCTCACCGTCGCCTCCAAGATCAGATCGCGCTCGGGCTCATCGACGTCCTCGATGGCCTCCTCCGGCTCGGTCGCGTCGTCGTCGTCGTCTCGGTCGCGCCGCTCGTCGCGTGCCTCACGCGAGCCCCGCGACACTGATCGCAGCACCGACCGCACATCGGCCAAGGCCAAGGCCAAAGCCAAGGCCAAGGCTAAGGCCAAGGCCAAGGCCAAGGCCAAGGCCAAGACCCATGACAACCGCGCGCCATCGCCGAAGCGCGCGCCGCCCAAGGCAAAGGCCAAGGCCAAGGCAAAAGCCAAGTCAAAGGCCAAGCCCCGCTCCTCGTCGAATGGCTCGACCTCGCATGCGTCGCGCTGATATGTCTTGCGCACCCCATCCCCCGCGCCTGTTGCCTCATTCCTGGCGCGCCGGCCGGCGTCCAAATGGTCGTTGCCGCCGGCATGCCCAGGCACACGCAGCTTGCGACTCATTTTTACCAACCTGAGCCATTTGCCGTCTCTGTCGTTGTTTCGCCTCGATTGCGGCCACCCGGGCACTCTTTCTCTTTCCTTCTTCCCCTCCTGTACCTTGCTCGGCACCTGCGCGCCGGCACGACATCAAACGAAACCTCTTGGCCGGGCATCATGTCTCGTGGCTGCGCGCGTCTGCTTGTTAATGACCAAGCTTGCGGACGGTGCGAACGACGTCAACAGCCTCAATGACATCACCCTCTTCAAAGGCGATGCCGTCGAGAACTAGGCCACCCTCCTGGCCGGTCCCAATCTCGCGGACCTCGTCCTTGAACCGCTTGAGCGAGTCCGGCCCGCGCGGGCCTCGGCCACGACCTCGCCGGCGCGGACAACGCGGACCGCCGCCGAGCGCGAGAGCACACCCGACTTGACCCGAAAGCCGCCAATGTTCATGGCGCGGGCCTGCGACCGCGAGCCGCCGGTATAGGGGAAGACCTGAAGGACCGAGGCCGTCCCGACAACCTGGGTCTCCTCCACCGCAGGCAGCAAGTCCTCGACCAGCGACCGCAGCGTGTCGTCGAGGTTGTAGATGATCGAGTGCCGGTGGATGGGCACTCCCTTGAGCTTGGCAGCAGCGGCGGCGTTTGGCTCGACCTTGGTGTTGAAGGCAAGGATGTGCCCGCCGGTGAGCGCCACCTTTTCCACGTCCGAGAGCGTGACCGCGCCGACAGCGGCGCCAAGGACGGCGAGCTCGACCTCGTCGGTGAGCGCGGCAACGTTGTCGACGCAGCTCTCCAGTGCATCGACCGAGCCAGCTACGTCGGCCTTGACTAGAATCTCCAGCACCGGTGGCTCATCTTCGGACCGCTCGCCGGCGGCCGCCATGGCCTTGCGGGCCTCGGCCCGCGCCGCCATCCGCGCCCGCCGCGCCGCCGCCCGCTCGCGGCCTGTCGCCTGCTTGGAGAGCTGCGGCGGCGCGTTCCGCTGCGCCGCCCGTGACGCGGCCAGCCGCTCACGGTACGCAGTCTCGGCTGCGGCCTCTTGTGCCTCGAGCGCTGCAGCCTCGGTCCGCGCGTCGAGCACGGCCTTGGCCTCGGCCTCGGACGCCACGGCGACCACCGTGTCGCCCGCCGCCGGCAACTCCTTGAAGCCGACAACTTCGCCGACTTGCGACGGGCGGAGCTCCTTGAGCATCTTGCCTGCGGCGTCGCGGATGCCTTTGACCCGCGCCCACGTCTCGCCGGCTACCAGCGCGTCGCCGGTCTTGAGCGTCCCGCGTTGCAGCAGAAGCGTGGCGAGCGGGCCCATCCCCTTGGCCATCCGCGCCTCGAGCACCGAGCCCTCACCTGGTCCGTCGACCACCGCGCTCAGCTCGAGCATCTCTGACTGCAGCAGCAGAGCCTCAACAAGGGCATCGAGGCCCGACTCTGAGCCGTCGGCAGTTGCCACCGTCGGCACGCACAGAACCTCGCCACCCTGCTCCTCGACCACCACTCCATGCTCCATCAGCTGCAGCTGGACGTTGAGCGGGTCAGCGCCGGGCTTGTCCATTTTGTTGATGGCGACCACCAGCGGGACGCCCTCGCGCTTGGCATGCCGGATCACCTCCTCGGTTTGTGGCTTGACGCCGTCGTCGGCGGCAACCACAAGGACAATGATGTCCGTGAGGAGCGCCGACCGCGACCGGATGCCGTCAAACGCGGCGTGACCGGGTGTGTCGATAAAGGTCACCGCCGAAGCGCCGGTTCGTGCAGGCGGCTGGCCAGCGCCGCCACCGCCCTTGCCCTTCTTGCCCTTCTTGCCCTTCTTGCCCTTCTTCCCGCCTTTCTTCCCGCCCTGCCGCCCACCGACAATCGTACCGCCCACCATCACCTCAAACGCCGCTAGGTGCTGCGTGATGCCGCCGGCCTCGCCGTCAACCACAGACGTGTTGCGCAGATTGTCAAGCAGTGACGTCTTGCCGTGGTCAACGTGGCCCATGACCGCCACCACCGGCTGCCGCGGCTCTGCTCGCTCGTCGTCTGCAACGCTCGCCCCGCCGCCATCGCCGGCCGATCCGGCGCCGGCCGCCACCAGCTCAGCACCTTGCGCACCTGCGTCCTTGATCTCGGCCTCGACCCCAAAGACTTCGGCCACTAACTCGGCCACGTCGAGCGGAATGCGGACAACGGGCGCGTCGCGCCGAACCCGCCGCGGCAGCCGCATCCCAGCATCTGCCAGCGCCCGCCGGAGCAGATGCGCCTTGACCCCGAGTCCCTGCGAGAGTTCCGCCAGCGTCGGCGGGACAGTCAGCACAAGCTTTTTGCCCACGCCTGCGCTACCTGCGCCTCCCATGCCTCCCGATGGCCGTCCCTGGCCTCTGCGGGACGCGTTGTGACCACGGCCGCGATGCGGACCACCCAAGTGGCCACGATGGCCGCCGCCGCCTCCGCTGCCACCTGCCCCGCCACCTCCGCTTACACCTCCTCCACTCTTCCCCCCCCTTTCCTTCCTCCGCCTCCGCCACCGCCACTTCCGCTGCTCGCCCATGCCCGCGACACAGCCGCCGCCGCCGCCGCCGCCGCCACTGGCTGGCCCCCCGCCGGCCCTCCTCCCGCAAGCAGCCCTGCTCTCCAGCACGCCACACGCAGCATACTCTACCTTGCTGACCGAGAGTGCCCTACCGAGGTGTCGCTACCGTGCTACGCGCGCGTCAGGTGTGCCCTCTCCCAATCTTGGCGTGGCGCTGTTACCCGTGCCCCCCCTCCCCCTCCCGCCATTGCCGACGCGTCGTGACGTCGGGATCCCTCTCGCTGCAAACGCCCGGCTCCCCGGCTTGGCCTTCCGGCTCCTCGTCGACCTCCCCCTTCGCTGTTGCTCCATATTACACATCGCAGCGACAGAACATTCAATTTAGTTGAACTCGATGCCCTGCGAGAGCGGCATGTCGTTCGAGGTGTTGATGGTCGCCGTCCCGCGACGCATGTACTGTTTCCAGGTGTCCGAGCCCGACTCCGACGAGTCGCCCGAGGCCTTGTTGGCCTGGAAAGCGCCACCGATCTCAGCGCCCGACGACGAGGTGTTGACGTTGACGATGCCGCAGTCCGAGCCGTAAGGGCCGGTCCACCGGGCCATCGAGCCGATCGAGGTGGTGAAGAGCGCCGAGGCAAGACCCTGCGGGACCGAGTTGTTGATGGCAATGGCCTCGTCGAGGTTCGAGTACTTGACGGTGTGGAGGATCGGCAGGAAGAGCTCGTCCTGCAGCAGCGGCGAGTCAGCGCTCATGGCGGTGATGGTCGGCGCCACAAAGTTGCCGCGGGTCTCGTTGCCGTTCGACTCGTGCGTCACAATGTCGCCGCCGACGAGGATCTCGCCGCCCTGCGCCTTGATCTCGGCCACGCCGGCCTTGAACTGCTCGACCGCAGCCTTGGTGTGGAGCGGGCCGTAGAGGATGCCGTCCTCCAGCGGGTCGCCCATCCGGACCTGCGCGTACAGCTTGGTCAGCCGCTCGAGGAACTCGTCGTGGATGTCCTCGTGGAGAAGCAGACGCCGCGTCGACGTGCACCGCTGGCCGGCGGTGCCGACCGAGCCGAAGAACACAGCCTGGAGCGCGAGGTCCAGGTTGGCGTCGGCCTCGACAACCACCGCGGCGTTGCCGCCAAGCTCGAGAATCGACCGCCCGAACCGCGACTGCACCACCTTGCCCACCTCGAGGCCGACCGCCGTCGAGCCGGTAAACGACATGAGCTTGATCCGCTCGTCAGCAGCCATGGCCTTGCCGATCGGCACATCACCCTGCACAAGCGACGAGATCGCACCCGGCAGCGAGTTGGCCTCCAGCACGTCGGCAAAGATCTTGGTCACAGCCACAGACGTGAGCGGCGTCGTAGGCGCCGCTTCCACACGCACACGTCACCGCACACAAGCGCAATCGCGGCGTTCCACGCCATCACAGCCACAGGAAAGTTGAACGCAGTGCAAATGCCCACAGGGCCGAGCGGGTTCCACACCTCGTGCAGCAGGTGGCCGGGCCGCTCAGAGTTGAGCGTCAGGCCGCCGATCGTCCGCGAGAGTCCGGTCGCGTAGTCGCAGATGTCCACCGCCTCCTGAACCTCGCCAACACCCTCGGCCTTGATCTTGCCCATCTCCAGCGCCACAAGCTTGCCCAGCGGCTCGAGCTTCTCGCGGAACGCGTTGCCGATCTGCCGCACAATCTCGCCACGCTGCGGCATCGGCACGCCCTGCCAAACCTGCTGAGCTTCCATGACATTGCCCATCACACGCTCGTAGTCCTCCACAGTCGCCGTCGTAACCTTGCCAATCTCTTCGTTGGTGTACGGCGACGTCGAGCTCACAACCTCGCCAGACGCATCCCAGCTCCCGTCGTACACGCCCGAGTTGGTCTCTGAGAGACCGAGCTCAGACAGGAACGACGTGTCCTGCGACACCCGCGCCACGCTCGCCAGCGTCCGCCGCGCCGACATGCGGATTCCATTCGAAGCAACAGAGAACATCGACCTGTGGACATGCCCCCCGTGCCAAATAAAAGTCAAAAGACCATGCCAGCCGATGGCGACATGGTGACGTGAGCAGCGACAGCAGGCGACCGAGTCCGACCGACCCGACCCAACCCAACCCATTGCCACCAGCATCACCCGGACCACCCACCGAGCCATCCCCGCCCCCATCCCCATCCCCCATACATGTCATACTCCCAGTGTCAGTCCCCTCCCCTTCTTTGCCTCCCGTCCTCCTTTCGTGCTCACCACCTCTGCTCACACGCACCCAATCTCCATCACACAGCAAGTGCGTTGCCTCCCCTCCCGCACCCCCTCCCGCACCCTCCACACACACTGTAATGCCTAGCACCCAGTCCTGCCAACTACTCCGTCCATACCTGGTGTTATTTGTAATTCAAGTCGAGTGGTGCCCTCCACGGCTACACTCACGGGTGGTAGTACTTGCGGCCAATGGCGGTGGGAGGTGGCGTGTGACGCGGCGTCCACGTGTCATTGCCGTCACACCTACCACCAACCCATCAACCACTCCCACAGCAGTTTGGCGGTGAGCCACGCGAGATATCAGCAAGCGCAGTCGCCGCCATCGCAGTCCCCAGCGCACTCGCCGAGCTCTGAGCACGCATTGCATGAAAACTCGCAGATCGACGTGATGCAGTCGCCGATCGATGAGCAAAAGTTGCCGAGCGTGTCGCAGATGGACGAGCAGCAGTCGCCTGAGCAGCAGTCGCCGCATGCGTCGCCGCCGGCGTCACCGACCTGGCCAAACGCGTCGCCCACGGCTGAAAACGCGTCGCCCATGCTCGAGACCATGTCGCCGAGCGCGTCAGCCACCGAGAGATTCGACATAGTCGCCGCTACGTTGCCAAAGTGCGCCACAGGGCTGCCGAGCAGGACGATGGCGGCAACGCCGCCGACGGCCATGCCCGCCAGCAGCGCCCCGTTGTGGTTCTTCTGGCGCCGCCGTCCGTCGCCGCTCTCGCCGTCCCGCCGCCGCGTCTCGGCCATTTCGCTCTGTTCAGCCTTGCGCGCTGGATCCGGCTCGTACAGCACCATGCACGTGTGCTCACACGCCATGTTCTCGGACACGGACGTCCGCACCACGGCATCAACGTCGGCGTCCGAGTCGGCCAGCCACGCCCGGGCCGTCAAATGCACCAGTCGCTGCTTGCAAAAATGCGCGAGACCGGAACGTACGCCGACCGCGTCGCCGTCACCGCCAGCGTCCGGAACTCCCCGGACGGCGTCCGGCCGGTCAGCTTGAGCACACGGGGCAGCTCGCCAGTGTACTTGCCCGACACTACGATCGGCGCGCCACAGTACAGGTCCGGCACAGGCTCCGGGTACACTTCCACGTCGGTGCCGGCAACCGCTAGCGAGACGTCCGCCAGGACCGGGACCGACGCAATCGCCAGCAGTCGCTTCATCTGTGGCTCGATCTCCGACGCCGCAAAGACCCGCGCCGAGTACCCGCGCCCCAGGATCGCCAGCTGCTTGAGAAAGTACATGTTGCAGTACGGCCCGATGCCCATGGTAAAGTAGCGAATGTGGCTCCGCTTCGTCCGCGTCGAGCAAATCTGCCGCTCGTTGGAGACTGCCCCGTCGGTGACGAGAAAGACAAAGGCGAGGCCAGCCACGTCGCTCAGCATCTTCTCCGCGAACCGCAGCGGCGACTCGATGTCGGTCAGCCCGCGCGCGTCGACCGTGTTGAGCCACGCCTTGGCCGCCTCGCACGATTCCGGCGTTGCTGCCACCATCGCCTGCGAGTGCACCGCAAGCTCCGAGTCAAATGCAATGATGTTGAACATGTCATACGGTGTGAGCGAGTCGAGCCCGCTCCGCACCGCCTCTAGCGCAGACCGCATCGGTGAGCCGCCCATCGAGCCCGACCGGTCGACCACAAACACAATGTTGCGCCGAAACGTGCCCGCCAGCTCATCCATCGCCGGCGGTGCCACAAAGAGCGAGAACGACGGCCGCGGGTCATACGCCGCGCCGTCACCGTCCTCCACAAGAAGCGACGCTACAATGTCCTTGTTCCACACCGAGTAAGAAATCTCAAAGTCGCGGTTCGAGACCGGGCCCGAGTTCTTGTCGAGCGAGAGCACAATGTGCGATTCGCTCTCGCTCTCCACATGCATAACATGCGACGCCGAGCCCCATGACGACGACGGGGTTCCTGCGTTGATCGTCACCCCGATGTTGATTGCTTCACGGACAGAGCCGCGCAGCAAGAGATGCTCGGGCACCGCCAGCGGGACCCGGAGCACAAACGCCCCGGCCTCCACGTCCAGGTCCTCCAGGTACGTCACCGTCACCACAACGGTCTCGCCGGCAGGCACATTGGTAAACGGCATGACAAACACAAACGGGTTTGTCATCAACCGTTGCAGCACAGCGTCCTCAGAGTCGCCTTCGGCTCTCGCACTGCCGCTGCCACCCAGACTGTACGGGTTCCCGGCTCCGCTGGCCCCGCCGCCGTTGGCCTGCCCCACCAATCGATCCTGCTCCTCCTTGATTGCATTGGCCTCTTCGTTGGGCAACACGAGCGTCTCGAGCACCCGGTCGCGCCCAATCTGCACCTGCGCCGCAGAAACTGTTGCCTCGGGATCCTTGGGCATCAGGAACGCGGCGTCCACTGCGCTCTTCCCGACGTTGACAAAAGCGGCCCGGACAGTGACGACGGCAGTCGCAATGTGGCACTCGACCATGACATCCACAGCGTCAATGCCAAACATGCTTCCACCTGTTGCCATCACCAGCGGGCACGAGAGGTGCTTGGTCACCGCCGCCGGCACTTTGGCTGGCGCCGAGCCGTTGCCCTTGCCGCCGCCAGCGCCCGCAACGCCAGCATCATACGCTGGCGGCGGCGCCATGTCGCCACCTCCATTAACACCACCACCAGTACTCGGACCTGCCTGATAAGCTGGCGGCGGGGCAGCATGATCCGAGAACGACGACGCCGACGAGATCGACGACGACGCTGACGAGTGTGAGGCCTTCGGCGGCGAACTCGGCGAGCTCGGTGATCCGTAGCCACTCGCATGCTGGCCCGGTCGTGGCGAATGGTTGGTCCCCGCCGAGCGCGAGTACGACTCGTCTGACGAGAACTCATCCGAGCCCATGTCCGATGTCGAGCCCGACTGATGATATGCCGCCGACGGCGGCTGCTGTTGCGGCGGGTTGCTTGTAGGCCAGCTCATGACCAAATGAAAGTTATCCTGTGCCTACGCTCGTGATGGTGTCTGTGCAAAAGATGCGACACTCTCACACACGTCTTCTCTTGCGCTTCTCCCGCCTTCCCTGCCCCCTTGCTACCGTGTTGGAAGTGAGGTGTCGCAACGCCTCACCGTCGGCGTGGGTAAGCGAGGAAGGCCATTTTGCGGTGAATTGGCCCGAAAAGCCGACTAACGGCATGGCATGTGCACCAACCAAGCCATGTTTGATGCGGTACGATGTCGTCACCAAACGCGTCATCAACCCGTTCATCCTTCTTGTATCCACGGCTTTATCATCACCCACATGCACTGCTTGTCTGTACAGTCTAGAGATTGCCTCCACAAGCTCTGCCTCGACATAGTCGGCATGCCGGCGGAACGACGGCTTGCCACGCCGACGCGCTGCATCTTCAGAGTCGCAGCTGAACCCAACCTGATCACACACACGCACACTTCCAACGACCACAGCTGGAAACAGTTTCTTCCTTCACACTCCCCCCTTACCCAATCCAACCCCCCTCCCCCCCCTCCCCCCTCCATCGTTCATCCCCCCCCTCTCCCCCCTTGCCCTCCATCGATCATTCGTTCATTCGTTCATTCGTTCATTCGTGCATTCGTGCATTCGATGACAAACAGGACACAGCCTCGCTCTCGTTCCGCACCCCTCTTACCCATCCACACACACCATGTCGGGCGCACTGTGGGTGGACAAGTACCGCCCGAAGACCCTAGACAAGATGGACTACCACAAGAAGCTGTGTAACCGCCTGGCAGCCATGGTACGCCCATCTTCCAACCCCCCCCCCCCCCTCGCCTCGGCTGGTCATGTAGAATCAACCACTCACACACACACTCTCCCCCTTCCCCCTCCCCCCCCCCCACTCCCATGAGGACAGGCCGGACATGGTGACTTTCCACACATGCTGTTCTACGGTCCGTCGGGCTCGGGGAAGAAGACGAGGATTATGGCTCTGCTACGCGAGGTCTATGGTCCGGGAGTGAGCAAGCTCAAGGTGGAAAGCCGCGAGTTCACCAACCCGGCATCGACATCGTCGGCCAAGGCCGAGATCACCCTCATTTCTTCGCCGTATCACATCGAGGTCAATCCGTCCGATGCCGGGAACAAGGACACCATTGTGCTACAGGCGCTGCTTTCGGAAATGGCTCAGACTCGCTCGCTCGTCGGTGCAGGCGGTATGCTCGCATCGAGCGAGGCCGCGCCGGCTGGACCGTCGTCGACTGCGTCGACGGCCGTGCCGATGGAGACTGGCGAGCCGGCTGCGAGCTCGGCACCGTCGTTCCGCGTGGTTGTCATTGCCGAAGCACACCGGCTCTCGCGGCAGGCCCAGAACGCGCTACGGCGGACCATGGAGACGTCGGCCAAGACCTGCCGGCTCATTCTCACCGCCACCTCGACAACCGGGCTCATCGACGCCCTCAAGTCGCGGACCATCCCCATCAAGATTGCCGCGCCTTCGGTCGACGACGCCACCGCCATTCTCAGGCATGTTGCCGCCAAGGAGGGTCTTCCGCTCGACGACGCTCTCGCCGAGCGCATCGTGATCGAGTGCAAGCGCAACCTCCGCCGCTCGCTCCTCCTCCTCGAGGCCAACTCTGTAGCCCAGAACGCCTTGCCCAAGCCCGACTACGAGATCCTCATCCACAACATGGCCACCTCTATCCTGGCCTCGCAGACTCCGGCCCAGCTCAAGGCTGTTCGTGCTAACCTCTACGACCTTCTTGTCCACCAGATCCCACCCGATGTCATCATGCGCACCCTCGTCGCCGAGCTGGAGGACAAGCTCGACACCGAGATCCGCCACGCCGTCGTCTTTGACTCGGCCATCTACAACCACCGACTCGTCCTCGGCTCGAAGCCCATCTTCCACCTCGAAGCCTTTGTCGCCTCCTTCATGTTCCGCTACAAGCAGTACCTCATGTCCATCAGCTGATTAAAGCCATCACTGCCGCAGCCCCCCTCGCTGAGCCATTCACTCCCACCTGACGCAGCCATGCCCATGCGCTCGCCAGGCGCCCGGAACAGACAAGGGCGCCGACAACGAGACACGCCACCACAGGCAGCACCCTCGTCGCCCTCACAAGACTATGCTCGCGTCCTCCGTGCCGACCATCCGCTTCCAGCCTGGGCCTCACCACCAACGTCGGCCGCTCCTCCGTCAGCTGCGTCTCAGCCGCTCCGCACCCACCGCCGCCCGGCATCGTCGGCCCGCGCCCGCCGTGCGCTGGCGGCTGCTCCGGCTGCTCGAACTCGCCGCCCGCCACCATCGCCGTCACCCTCATCGTCGCCATCGCCCTCGCCCTCGCAACCACGCCCTCGCCCACGCCGGCTGCCTCGGCGCCGACCCCTGCCAGAGTGGGACAGCGGCTCCGGTTCTCCGGAACGATCGCGTGGCAGTCGTCACCGCCCGCAGCGGGTGCTCGATCCGCCGACGCCACTTGCTCCACAGCCGATCACCGACACCACTCCTGTCCGGCTCACCGGTGCGTCGGAATACTCCATTCCCGACGACGACTCGGACTGGAACGCCATCTACGCCGGCGCTGCCGCCCGATCCCGCTCAGAGGCTGCGGCCCCGGCCGACGAAGAGTATGTCTTTGCCTGGATGGGCTTGCCCGAGGCCTCGACCCGCGACGCTATTGCTGCTGATCTCGCTGATGAGACTGCGGCCCAAACTGCACTTCGGCTGCGGAATGCCCGTGCTCGCAACCGCGGCCGGGTCCGCCGCGCCCGCGCCTCCGACGTCCTCGCCCCACGTCGGGCCACTCGTCGCACCACCCACCTCCGGGCAACAGCTATTGAGCCGGCGCCGGCACTGACGCCTGCCCGGGCTCCGCAACTCTCGGCGGTGCAGGCGCTCGAGAGGCCAGCTACGCCGCCGGAGATCGAACTCGGTCACGACGACGCCGTCGAACTCATTGCCCGCATCGAGTCGCTGGCGCTTGCTCCGCTGCCGCCACCGGACGAAGGCCTCGACAATCTCGACTACGACGCACTGCTCGCGCTTGACGAAGGCCTGCCGACCAAGCACTGTTCGCCCGATCAGATTGCGGCGCTGCCGCGTATTACCTACATTCCTGGTGCTTCATTTGACGACATGTGCAGCGTTTGCCTCGACGGCTTCGCTCTTGGCGAGAGGCTGACTCTTCTCGCATGCGGCCACGCTTTCCATCACCCATGCATTGGACAGCACCTCGCCCGTGCCGTGTTCTGTCCCAACTGCCGGGCGCCTGTTGAGTAGCTCGAGAGCGATATGAGTTGAACGAGCTACAGCTCGCCTGAGCTGAGCTCCGAGTCGGTGGTCACCGACGTGGTCGACTCTGATGCGAATGTCGAGTCGAGGCCGGCCAGGGTGGCACCGACATCGGCCGGTGCAACATCGGCCGGCACGCCAGGGGCGGGCTCGAAAGCGGGCTCGTCGGCCGGTGCATCAGAAGCGGCGTCAGCAGCTGCGCTCTCGCCAGACTTGCGGAGGCGGAGCTGGTCGATGCAGACACGGACAAATGCGACTTCGGCGTCGATGTTGGCCATGGCCTCCAGCGGGTTGGCTGCCGGCGAGCGGAGGAGGGTCGGACCAAAGCAAACGCCGAGATTGTTGGGCGACATGAGCGTGACCTCGACCACACTTGGCTCGGCCATGTCGGAGAGGAGGTTAAAGAGGGCGAGAAGCGAGGCCCGGTGCAGCGGCTCGATGTCGTCAAGGACCGCGAGGCAGGCTGACGGGTCGGCCTCGGCTTGCTCGCCAGCAGCAACCGCAGCGTGGTAGTTGGCCGTCGGCACCGCAGGCTCTGGCAGCGAGCGGAACCACTCTTTGAGGAGCGAGGCAAGCTCGTGGATGTCGATGTTGTCCGGGATCGGATGGTCGCGCTCGAGCGCGTCGCGAATCTGGTCGATTGAAGTCTTGGAGCCAGGCTTGCGGAATACGCCTTCGGTCGTCAGCGCGCCGCGGTCACGCATGAGCTGGAGCATAGTTGTGAGGACCGGCGGGACCGGCGCCTCGGGTGTTGCTAGCTGCGCGAGAGGCACGCCAAACTGCGGGTTCTCCGGCGGCTCCGGCTCGACAGGCTTGGACTCGGATGACGATCCGCCGCCGATGTGCGGGAGGCGCGGCAGCCGCCGCTTGCGTGCGCTCTGCTTGCCAGCCTTGTACTCGATGACCTCAAACGGCTTGAAGGTCGGTGTGTCAGGTGTGTGGCTCCTGACAAAGTCGATCAGCTCCTCGTCAACGTCGATGTCGTGCGCACTGGCTTCAAACACCTGCGCCCGAGTCACCGACGCCCGCGCACACTCGGCCTCGATGCCTGCCAGCGCCACTAGAACTTCCTTGGTCGCCGCCGTCCGCGTCTCAAAGTCGGCCTGGAACTGGCGGAGGACAACCGGCATGCGCTTGGAGTAAAACGCGTCGAGGTAGTCGTTGGTCGACTCGACGTCGCCGACATATGTCTCATGCTTGCCGTTGGCGTCCTCGCTAGACTTTTTGCCTTGCGCGTCAGCTTATCGAGCTCCTTCTGTCTCGCGCCAGAGTCCTCCTTGCGAGCCTCGAGCGTCTTCTGGGCAATCTCGGCTTCCTTGGACGCTTTGAGAAAGGCCATACGCGATTTGCCCAGCGCCGAAAGCACCTCCTTCTTCTCCTTGAGCAGCACTCGGCCCGACGAAGTCAGGCTCTTGGTCGAGCTCTCCAGCTCGGCCTCGAGCTCTGCGAGCTTGAAGATCGGCCCGACGTTGAGCGCGGCAGCCATGTCGCGAGACGCGTCGGCCTGCGAGGTCCACAGCGCGAGGCACCCGGTGAGCCCTGCTGCGAGCGAGTCTTGCGACGCCGTCGACCGGCCAATGTAGTTGCGGAGCGACGACTTTTTGTTCGCTGTCTTGACCAGCTTCTCCAGCTCGGCCGCCACCGTCGACGCCAGCGAGGCTCTCGCCCTCAACAGCGAGTGCAAGTCCTTGACAAACGACGCCGACTCGGCAGCAGCGCCCGACACCGTGTCGAACCCGTCCCACAGGCCGCCGAACGAAGCCTTGTTGGCCTTGGCCACATACTCTGTCATCTTGTTCCAAGCCTCTCCTGAGAGATGTGTCTCCCTCCCTCGTCAGCAGCCTGGTCGCTGCGCCCCTCCCCCCCTTGGCTCGCCCCGGCAAAAGACGGCTAGCCGGAGCTCGTTCCTTGCAACTCCCCGCCGATTCCCGGCCCGATCTCAATCCACTTCTTCACGCTATTGTACTACAGTGTGCCCCATGGTAGGCTGGTGCATTGTTGCTGGTGCATGGACGCATCGCGTGGCTGGCTAAGCGCTTCGGCCAGAGCCGGCGGTGTCCGGCGCGGCGGCGTCCGAAGCTGAAAAGGTGAACCGCGGGCCGAGGGCGAGCGAGTCGGGAATGGAGACCCGGGCCACAGCCTGGGCACGGAGGTGTGCCCGCAGCGCCTTCTTCTGCCACGGCGCAGAGATGCTGCCACTGCCGGGATCAGAGAGGTCAAACAGGTCGTCGTGGAGCGAGCGCGAGCTTGCGGATGGCTGCTGCATGCCGACCGAGACCGAGCCCCGCCGAGACTGCTGTAGGTAGGCCCGCAGCCTCGTTCGCGGCGAGACCGCGGCCGGATCGGTGTTGGTCCGGGCGAGGGCGGCAGTGGCCGCCGCCGTCTGAGACGCCGCCGTTGCTTCGGCGAGGGCGGCTTCGGCGGCTTTGGCGGCGGCAACCTTGGCCCGCGGAACGTGCTTGCGGTGCCTGCGGCGGCGGCGGCGTGCCTTGCGCTTGCCGCTCTCCGAGACGGCTGAGCCGGAGATGCGCGGGCGCAGTGTGCGCGGCTTGCCGAGCTCCGCGGCAGCTCGCCGCGAGCCTTCGCGGAGCAGGCGCCGGCGCTTGGCCTCGCGCTTATTGTGGAGTTCGATAGCGCGGGCGCGGGCGCGGCGCTCGGCAGCCTCGATCGAGCGCTCCTCGCGGGACTTGTGCTTGCGACGGTGGTAGTGGTGGTAGTGCCGGATCTTGGACGCAGCCCGCTCCATCTTGCGCTGACGCCGCGCGGCAAGGATGGCCTCGCGCTCGGCCTCTGTCCGCCGCCGCCGTTTCTTACGCTTCTTGCGAATGCGGATGGTGGCCGGCGGCGGGGTTGGTGGCTGGCTTGACTCGCCGCTCTGCTCGTCGTCGCTGTCGAGAGCGGACGAGTCGAAGGAGGCGTCAGCGGCACCCCTGCTGGCATCGACGAGGCCAGGCAACTCGCAAGCAGAGCCCGATTCATCAAACAGAGCCAGTGAGCCCGAGTCGGAGCTCGAGTTGGTGACCAGGTCGTCGAGACCGTCGAGCGCGGCCAGCCGCGCGGGGAGGCCTGGGACGAAGACCGCGACCAGTGCGCCGATGCCGCACACGCCGAGTGCAACCGCATACGGCACCGCCGGCTCTAGCAGGAGTCCACCGTTCGGCCCGTCGAGCGCAGCCTCCACCGACGGTGCCGTGGCGAGGAGAACAGCAGTGAGTGCGTTGACAATCGACGTCCCGCTCGACGCCAAGGCATACACAGCGTCTGCGTCGAGACCGACGAGCTGGAGGGAGAGCGACGGAACCCGGAGGCCGCCTACAACAAGGCCAAACGCGGCGAGCGCGAGCGCGAGCCAAACTGGAGCCGCGCTCCGTCCTAGACCAAACAGCACCGCAAAGAGCGGAAGGAGAACAATCAAGCTGACAACCAGTGGCAGAGCGAGCCGAAGCGCCGGCCGGAGGCGCCCACCGGCTGACGGTGCGGCAATGAGCGCTGCAGTCGCGAGATGCGAGAGGGCAAGTCCGAGAACAACCGCCGCGCCGCCCGCGGCAAGCACGCCTGACGCGGCCAACGGCGTGTACCCGTGGTCGACCGTGAGACTGTAGCCGGCGCGAAAGGCGAGTGTGTCAAAGACGGCAAGTGGGAGCGCAAAGGCCAGGGACCAGACCAGCATCCGCGGCCCATCGGCGGTGAGCTCGGCCCACGGCCGCCACCACGGTGACGGCTCCGACGCGTGGACAGCCTTGGACCGGGTTGCCGGCACAAGCGCGGCCGTGGCCAGGAGCGCCAACACCGCCACTCCGCCCTCCACCGCAAACAGGTACCGATGGTCCGGGGGGAGCGAGACCAGCGCCGCACCGGCGACAAGGCCCACACACCGGCCAACTAGGCTCCCGCTGTCGGCAAGGCCGTGCTTGCGTGGGCAGGCGTCCGGTGGAAACATGTCGTCGACGACGGCAAGGTCGATGATGGCGAGCCCGCCAGACGCGAGGCCCTGTGCAGCTCGAACCAGCGAGTAGCCAGTTAGCGAGGTGGCAGCGAGGCCGGCCCACGACGCGATCGCCAGGAGGCCGAGCCCGCCGAGCATGGCGGCCTTACGGGAGACGTTGTGAGCGAGCCACCACCATGCCGGGGCCGAGAACGCTGCGCCGGCAAAGTAGCAGCCGAGGACGATGCCCAGGCCAACGTCAGTAGTTCCGAGCTGGTGAGCAAGGCTTCGCGAGGCAGCCAGCGGCGCAATGGCAATAGCCTGAACAGTCATGACCAGCGCGACGACGACGACCATGGCCCATCGCCGGCGTGCCGGCGAGTACTCGATCCACTCGGCGATGCCATGGACAGGAGCCATGAGGGCCGGTAGCGGGTGTACCGCCGGGTTCTTGCTCTCCAGCGTCAAGTTGAGCGAGGTGACCGGCGGAACCGTGGCCAAGCCGGTGAGATACGGCAGTGGAGCCTGTGGCGTCGCGGCCTCCCACGGCCCGTCGCCCGGGTTGTACGCCCCAGCCGCCGAGACTCGAGCTCCTGGTGCTGGTGCCTCACCAAAAGCCAGCGCCCGGCGCACGCTCTCCAGCCTCTCGCCCGCCCTACTGCCCGCACTACTGCCTGCAGTAGCCAAGTTTGAAGCTGGAGTTGTGCCTGTCACAGCGGTGGCCGTAGTGGCCGTGGTGGTCGCGGTGGTCATGGCCACGGGCGAGGCGGTGGGGCTTGCGCCGAGGCCGGAGGCTCTTGGCTTGACGTTGGACGAGGTGACAAGCGGAGGCGTACACGGCGGCGTTGTGGCCATCAACCCAGTGTACGAGAGAGCCAGTGCCGACTCACAATACCTCTCGGTGCTCTCCTCCTCGTCGGTGGCTGCGGTCCAGTGACCAAGTGTCGGTTGGGTGGTCGGGGACGGGGGCGGGAGTGGCCTGTTGTGTGGCTGCTGTCATTCGGTTCACTGGTCGGTTGGCAACGGGAGGTGGCAGGGCAGGCAGGCAGGCAGGGGGAGGGAGGGGGGGGGGGGGGGGGCGGATGACAGGCAGGTAGTGGGCAGAGAGGCTATGGGACAGATAATCAGCAGTCAGTAGCAGAGTATATTACCTACCACCCGCTTCTACCGCCACTCGTAAAACATCGCTCCGTTGATCAAGCATACTCTCTCCGCTACCCATCATCAGCCCTTGCCGCTCTGACCACCCTCTGCCACACTGGGCCGGCTCCGCTCTCGCTACTTTTGTCAATCCTGCTACCACCTCTCGCTACCTAACTATGGCCACGTCGGGCAAGGACGAGGTCGGGAGGGTTCTGCCGGTCTCAGCTGTTGTCCCGCGGGCCCACGCATCGGCTCTTGGCCCGTTCTTTGCGTCGTACTTGGTGGACCACTCGGCCGGCCACCGCAAGCTGCCGTCGCTCCAGGCTATGGTTCTGCTCGCCATGCTCAACTCGGACGAGGCTTGGTTGCAGGGCTCGCTCTTTGACTTGGCCTTTCCGCTCCGCGCTGCCGCCCTCCGCGCCCTCATCGACCACGGCACAGTGACTGCTGCCGGCAAGGTTGCCCTGCCCGACTCGGCTGCCTACGTCCTCCGCTCCGACCCGGAGCTCCTCGATGCGCTCGACGAGTTTGTTGCTGCTCTCAAGGCCGATCTAGCAGTCATGGAGGCTGCAGAAGCCACAGAGCGTGCTGCGACCGGCAAGTCGGCAGCGTGGACGCCTGCGGGCAAGCCAGCGCTCGCCCAGTTGCCGGTGCCGGGCGACGAGTCGCTGGCCCACCCTTCGCTGTATGCCTCAGGCATGTTTGCGTCTACAGGTGCCGCCGGCGGCGGCGACGCAAGTGGTGAGAGTAAGCCCGAGCTGGATGCGCTATCGGACGTGGATTTGACGTGCTGGCCGCAGCGGCCGGCGTCGGGGTACGTGACGCAGGTCGATCTCGACCGGTTGCGGTCGTTCACCCACCCACCACCGTTTGTTGACGCTATCTGCGAGTGCATCTGCATTCTCCTTCACCGGCCAGTCATGTTTGCGCAGCAGGTCCGACATGAGCGCCACCTCCTCCGCTACCTCGACGACATTGAGCCGTCGACGCTCACCAGCCGCGATCTCGACCGGCTCCGGCCCTACGTCCGCCACCCGCACTTTCACAATCCGGAGCTCGCCCAGCGAGTCTCCGAGTCTGCCGCCGGCCTTGCTGCGCTGGTTGTCGACATCTACAAGTACGCCCGCTTTGCCGAGCACCCGCAGCTCTCGCTCGTCCGCCACCTCTACAAGCGGGTCTATGCGCTTCAGTCGCAGCTCCTCCACGTCGAGTCGGTCTCGTACTCGCACCGCTACATGGGCTCGGCCGCGCGTGGCGTCGACCTCTTCCTCTCGCTTGATGACTCTGGTTCGCCGCGGCGAATTCGGCGCGGCGGCTCGCAGATCTCGCTCGGCCGCTCCCTCGCGCCGTCGGCGTCACGGACGACGCTCTCGGTCCGGTCGGCCGGCTCGTCGGTCCTCCCGCTCCCGTCACGCGACGGGGCGCTGGCCGACCTTGGCATCCTCAAGCTTGCCGACGTCATTGAGCTGCAGACATACCACGCGCCGCCGCCGCGGACCGCCGCCGTCCTCGAGGGCTTACTCCTGGTCCTCGGCCGCGACTCGGACGCCGCGCCGTGGAAGCCTGACGGCCCGGCGGGCCAGGTCGAGCACTATGGCTCGCAGACTCTGCGGCGGCTCCGGTCGGCCAAGCTTGTCCACGCCATCGCCACGCTCGACCCGCGGCTGCTGGCGCCCGACGTTGTCGACGAGCTCAAGCGACTCGTGACCGACCCGTTCATGGGCGAGGAGGAGCTCTGCCGCGAGTCGTTCCCGGCCGCCAAGCTCTTCCGCTGGCTGCAGTGTGTCTACGTCCTTGCCCGAAGCGAAGTCAAATCGCTCGAGGCCGCAGCCAGGGCCGAGGAGGCTCAGGCAGCCGCTGCTGGTGCTGTCGGCGACGCTGTCAAGGCCACTTCGGATCTCACCACTCCCACCGGCGAGCCGATCACCCGCGGCGCCCGGGTTGTGGTCCGCGGCTACCTCGGGACCGTCCGCACACTCACCACCACCCAGTTTGACCCGGTCGGCAAGTGGGTCGGCGTCGAGTTTGACGAACGGGTCGGCAAGAACGATGGCTCGGTTGACGGCGTCCGCTACTTTGAGTGCCCGCCCAAGCACGGCCTCTTTGTCCGCCCGGCCCGTGTGGAGCTGTTCCACCCACCGCCGCCGCAGGTCAAGGATCCGGTCTCGGCTGTCCACGAGCGCAAGAAGCTCGATGGTCGCTCCTCTCTTTCGCCATCGGCCCGCCACGCCCACGCCCGCAAGCGCCTGCTTGGCCTCGACGGCGCCCGCTCGCCGCGCCGCCGCGCCGCGCAACAGCAGCCCGACGACAATGACATCCCGCGCCCGCCCGCTGATCTCGGCGACGCCGTCCTTTGCATCGTCCCCTCGGCGCCGGCCCTGGCCCCGGGCACCGTCCGCTTCAAGGGCAAGGTCGGTTTTGCTGCCGGCCTCTGGTACGGCATCGAGCTTGATGAGCCTGTCGGCCGCACGGATGGCACCGTCAACAACGAGTGGTACTTCCTCGCTCTCCCCGATCACGGCGTCTTTCTCAAGCGCGCCCGCTTCGCCCTCACCTCTGCACCCGCCGAGGTGGCCGCCGCCACGGCCGAGTTACAGCGCCTCCGCCATGACAGCGACGTCGGCGCTTCGCCCGCGAGCACCTGAAAACGCACACCGTTGCTGCTACTGCTCCGTGAAGCACGTCAGCCATGCCGCTGTCAGTTGCCTCGATAAAAGATGACTGCCCGCAGCTTGCTCCACCACAAGTCCGCTTTTCTTCACACCTGACCCCAACTTTCTTACCATGAAGCTCATTGCCTCTATCGCTGTGCTCTCGCTCATCGTCGCCATCGCCTCGGCCCACATGCACATTACTGGTGCGGGCACGTCGGCCAACCCTACCGCTACCGTCGGTGTACGTTCTGCTCTGCTCTCGCTCCGCTCCCGCCAGCCTTGTCTATCGCCAGTAGCCGCGCTTGTTTGCGAATGGGGCTGACGTGAGGCAACAACATTTTTTGGGGGGGAGGGCGCTGCTCATACGCTACCCCAACCAGCCCGTCCGCCCCATTCTCCCCCCCCCCCCCCCTCCCCTCCCTCCCTCACCACCACCGCCTGAATCTTACGCCAGCTCTGATGGACGAGCTATATGGCTCGTGCTGGCTGCAAGCGTCCGCTTGGCCTGTCGTCGTTGTGGCAAAAACGGCTGAACGGAAAGGGGTGCAAAAGGTGCCTTTTTTTCGGTGGGCAACCCACAGCGGAGGCAGAAAAGTTGTCCCCTCCCCCTGCCACTCACACTGCCCCCCCCCCCCCCCCCCGTCCATACGCGAACACAGCTCCGCGGGACTGATGCTGCTGGCGCCAACGCCGGTGACATCGGCTACTCGGGCTCCGGCCCCAAGGGTGGCAACCAGGCCAAGTGCGGCACTGGTGCTGCCAACGTTCCCCGGACCGACCGCCTCTCCATTGCTCCCGGTGCCACGCTCCACATTGCCGGCACCGTTGTTGTGACCCACGGCGCCAACCGCATTAACTTCAACGGCACTGCCGGCGCCAACCCGAACTTCTCCACCACCACTGGCACCATGCTTTTCACTGCCGCCACCGACATCACTACGGACGGCACTAACTGGAGCTACTCGGCTGCTGTCCCGTCGACTGCCTCGGGCGATTACACCATCCAGGTCACCTGGCCCTCGAACGGCGGCTACTACCAGTGCGTCGACCTCAACGTCAACCGCCCGTCCGGTTCGGCTGCCTCGACCGTCGCCCCGGCCTCGACCTTTGTTGCTGTCTTTGTCGCTGTCATTGCCTTTGTTGCCGCCCTCCTCTAATCGGTCGCGCCGCGCATCATCTGCTCAAGCTCTTCACGAGCGCATGTCTGCCCGTAGCCGTCATCGCTTTGACACTCACGAGTACATGCGTCCGTCTTTTTGCTCCACTTGCTCCCCCACACACTACTGCACCGAGCCAATGCTGCGCCGCGGCGACGCGGCGCACGGAAGACGGCCGTACACAAGCGAGAGTGCCAGCGCGAGGTAGCCCGAGAGCGGAAGGATGGCCACAAAGAGCCACTTGTGCCAGAGTGACAGAAGAATACCAACGACGAGGGTGAGCGGCAGGTTGAACGAGAACACAACGTTGCGCTTGAGGCGAGCGATGAGCGCCTCGGCCTCGTCCACGTCCGACTCGGTGGTGGTCAGCAGCCACGTGCCCTCGTGCGATCCTCCACTCGGGACACGGTTATTCAAACTGCGCAGCGCCTTGTACAGGCGCCACCCTGCCATGGCGCTAAGGAGAATAGCGGCGCTGCCAGCAATGGCAACAAAGATGCCGATGGCCAGCGGCGAGTCGTCCGACTGTCCGTAGAGGATGAGCAGGTTCGAGCCAAACGGCATGAGCGCCACAAAGATGAGATGGACATTGTTGAGCCGCTCGACCATACGCGGCAGGGTCTCGGCATCATGCATCAGCGAGTAGTGCCCCATCCACAGCAGCCCCACAACGTATGCGCAGATGACGTAAGAGAGCAGGGCAGTGCCCTCGTGAGAAAGAAACGCGGTGAGGCCAGCGTCCGAGAGGCCCGGCGGCGCCGCTGGCAGGTCCAGCACAATCAGTGTTGACGAAATAGCATACACGCCGTCGGAAAAGAAAATGACTCGATCGCCGTCCGGCACGTCGTCACTTGCCTGCGACTCAGCTGGCTCGATGCCAAGCATCTGCTGGACGTAACCCGAGTTGGCGGCGGCGCGCCCAGCAAGGTAGATGATGAGGAATAGGTTGACACTTGAGCCGAGCGACCAGGCACACGAGACGGCAGCGATGCAGGCAGCAATGAGCGCGCCAATGCGGAGCAGGATGACCGAGTTGCCCGCATGCTCCCACCCCAGTGCAACCGAGGCGTAGACCGCTGTGACGAGGCGGACAACGGCGATGTAGCCGAGAAGGCCGTAGAAGAGCGCCAACGCCACCGGCTGCTCCTTGTTTCCGGTCACCAGTGCAGCGACAAACGGCAGAAATGATAGCGAGAGGAGAAAGGCAAAGTTGAGATACAGCATGAGCGGCTTCATGACGAGGCCCGGAAGGAAGAGGGCGCGATGCGCGCGCCAGAAGAGCGAGATGTAGATAAAGGTGACGACAAAGGTGCCCATCGTCGTGTACATGTTCTTCTCGTCCATCACCTCGCGCAGCGTCTTGCCCTCGCCCTCCTCGCTCTCTACTTTGAGCGGCAGAACCAGGATGGTTGCAATGATCGACATGACTGCGTCCGTGTACGCCATCAGTCGCTCCGAGTCGAGTCGTCGGTACGCCTCGATGCGGTGCCCGCTACCCTGTCCGCTGTCACCAGCCACACTCGCCCCGCCTGTGGTCGCTAGCCCTGCCATGTTGCGCAAGCGTGGTTGCTGCTGCTGAGACTTGGCTAACCTTGGAAGAGCGAGGTGCTAGCATGCCTGCGTGCACATGCAAGTTGCCTGACCAACCGGAGACTAAAACAGGCTGCCACCACCCCGCCCCCCCCCCTTCCCTCCCAACCCCCCTCCCTGCACTCGCCTGTGTTCAACCTCGATCACGGCCGCGCCTGCCCTCTCGGCTACAAACGCGACGATTCGAGGCCGGCCAGTACATCCAGCCGAAGCTTGAGCTCAACGAGGAGCTCCTGTGGCACGGTGTGGCCGTCGTTGAACTCGATAAACTCGACGGACGCGCCACCGCTGCGAAAGAGCTCGGCGAGCTCGACGCCACCGTTGTAGGGAAGGATGGGATCGGCGGTGCCGTGCGACTGGATGACGTCAAGCGGGGCCGAGCGGGTGGCGAGTGCATCGGTCCAGGCCGATTTGGCGACGGCGCGGCCGGACATGACCACCAGAAGAGACGGATCAACCGGGAGGTCGGCGGCACGAGTGAGCGCGACATGCGAGGCAAGCATCGAGCCCTGCGAAAAGCCAGCGAGAACGAGGGCAGCTCCGTCGGCGGCAGTGGCCATGGCGTCGGCAATGAGTGCGACGAGCGCGTCGGTGGCGGCATCAATACCCTCGGGCACTTCATCGTCGATGGTGTGGAGCTGGCCCGAGAGCCGCAGCATCATCAGCCGCGGCATGTCGAGCGGCCACCACGCATACGAGCCTCCGCCGAGCGACACAATGCCCTGTGGAAAGATCATCCGCGCCGGTGCGGCGGCCGGATCGGCCGGGATGAGCGACGAGCCGAGCGGCGCCAGATCGTTCTCGCTCGCCCCAAACCCGTGGCAGACCACCACCACAACCGCGGGCCTCTCGCCATCGCGGCAGGTAGAGACATCGATGGCGTCGACGCCCGCGATGGTGACCCTCTTCCGCGTCGTCCGCCTCGGACCTGTCTCGGTGCTCGCGCCACCGTCTCGGCTGGCCGCGCCTGCTGCCTCGGCCGCCTCCACCGCCGCCACCAACTCGCTCTTCTCCACCAACCCGACTGCGCTGCCGCCCGCCGCCGCCAGCCGTCGCTTCAGCTCCTTGACCGAGAGGCTACCCAGACCTGTATCCATCCCTGTAAGACGTATGTGTTGTGCGGGAGAGAGATTGTAGCACGTCGTGGTGCTAAGGGCTTGTCCGCCGCGCCTCGTCACACACACCGACCGAGCCTGACGACCACACCCATGATGGCACGGCCATTCGGTCCAGCTCATCTCATGACTACGCCAGACCACATCTTCACCATGCAGGTCATTTGCCATCTGCTATCGTCTTGTGCGATGTAACTTGATCAGTCGTGCTTGCTCCTACTCGTCGAGGAGGTCAAAGGCAGCTTTGGGCCAACGACCGGCAGCGGCCAACGCCAGTTACGCCCACAAGACGACAACGGACGTCACGAGAAGAGCTACACTTCACCACCACACCCAAGACACATCGAAGAAGAGCGCCAAGTCCAAAAAGACAAGACACTCAGCCAGTACACCCTCCCGTCATGGCCTCCAGACAACGACCAGCTGCCCCGCTCTACCGCAACGTCCAGTCACGCATTGCGGCAGGCACTCGCTCGCGGGCTGCTCTCCCGCCGCTCGACTACTCGTTCAAGGAGCTGACCGATGTCCTGTCGATTGTCCATGAAGAGCCGCGATCGGGCTATCGGAGGATTGTCGAGATCGATGATGAGGAGATGGAGGCTGCCGCTCGCCAGGCTGCCGTCCTCGGTGGCGTGGCTGGCGACGATGGCGATGATGTTGAGGCTGGTGCTTCGGCCAAGGCTCTGTCAGGCCCACAGACCAAAGGTCGCGGCAAGGGGAAGGCGCCCTCGCGTCCGCCGGGCATCACCACTGCCATCCGACTCTGCAACAACTACCTGTCGTCGCTCGATGGTCTCGAGGAGGCTCTTGCCGAGGTACTTGACGAACCGGCAGAGCTCAAGTGGATCGACCTCTCGTTCAACGCCCTCGTCGACATCGACGAGGTCCTCACCTTTTTCCCGCACCTCACCACCCTCTACCTCCACGGCAACAACATTGGCGCCCTGCCCGATGCTGACAACGACGACGACGTCGCCGCTGTCGCCCTCGCCAACGACAACACTCTTCTGGGTGGCGGCGGGCCCGGGGACAACGACGACGATGATGCCGCCGCCGCTGCCGCCGCCGCTGCTACTGCACGCCGTCGCCGCCGCAAGCGTGTCAGCCTCGACATGGTCGACAAGCTTGGCCTCTTGCCCAACCTCAAGGCGCTGACCCTGCACGGCAACCCAATCGAGTCGCACCCGCACTACAAAAACTACGTGCTCTCGGTCTGTCCCTCGCTCCGGCACCTCGACTTTACCGGCGTGACCCGCGCGGACCGCGCCGCTGCGCAGGCTTGGGCCTCGATGCATCGCGCCCGCTACCGTGCCCGCTCCCGCCCATCGCCGTAACCTCATCTATGACGACGACGCGTACTCGTACTCATACGCCGTTGTGCCGGGTGTGTTGTAGCCGCCGGTCGGTGCTGCCTTTCCTGCCGCCAGCGCCTCGACGTTGTCAAAGTGCAGCGTCTCGGCCGCGCCAAGCCGCTCGCGAATGCCCTCGAGCTGCTCGTGCGAGACTGGTGTCTCCAGCACATACAGCTCACGGAGGGCAGCCGCCACCGACACCACCAGCGCGACCACAAACAGTGTCGCCACAATCGCAAACACGATCTCGTCCATCGACGCCGTCTCTGGCAAGCTTCCCGACTGGAAGAGCAAGCCGGCGAGGAGGAGAACGCCGATGATGCCCTGCAGCAGCGCGTCGAGCTGGTTTGCCAGCCCGTACTCGTACGGACCCACCACGAGGTGCGCCACCAGAAAGCCGACTACCGTCGCGAGCGCTCCTGCAGCCTGCACCAGCGTAAACGTGGTGAGAAAGTACGCCCACGCAAGGAGTGCAGCCTTTCGCGCAAAATGAATCGCCTCCCACCAGTAAACCTCGGGCCGGTACCGGAGGTAGAGCGGGCCGAGGTAGGCGTAGATCGCATCGCCGTGCGGCGTGACCGCGTACAAATGTCGCGACCGCTCGATGAGGACCACAAGTAGGACCACAGGAATACCGACGGCGTACACAAAGACGCCCAGAACCGCTGCGGGGAGCAACTCGTACCAGCTTGATCCGTAGCATACAATGTCTGCAGACGCATCGAGCGTGTACGATCCGTCCGGCTGCTTGGTGCAGTCAAAGAACGAGAGCGCTGCCCCGGCAACCGAGACATACACAAACATGAGAAAGGTCATGTAGGCAGGCACCAGTCGCCGCTTCAGCGCACGGCCGAGTCCGAGATACGACCATCCGTCTGCGCAACACTTAAGCCCGAGCGTCGCCCCGCTCCGAACTGCTGCGTACACTGCGCCAAAGAGAGCTGCTACCACCACAGGAAGCAGAAGCTTGAACAGCCAGAACGTCCGCCACTTCATCTCCACATAGCAGTTGGCCGCCGTCAGCTCCGGGTTGAGATTGAAGCCCGAGCAGTCGTTAAAGAACAGGACAAGGTGCTGCGGCCACTCGAGCTGGAACAGCGGGAGAATGGCAACCGTCTGCACAAAGTTGATCGCCACAGGCACACACGCAAAGTGCCTGTAGAACCGCGCAAGCTCGCCGGACGCAAGGAGGAAGAGCACAAGGAGCGCCACACCCACAAGCATGTTGAGCTCCGGTGCCGCCGGGCACTCAAAGCACCGCGAGTTGAGCTCGTAGTGGCTTCCCTTGGCGCACGATGAGCAGAGCTCGCCCGCGTACCCAGTCCGGCACTGGCTCGGTGCTGCTCCGCCAAGGCACGCCACAGGCTGAGGGCACTTGTACGCCACTGCGCCGCGATCCGACGATGCCGCAAAGAAGCCTGCCATCGCGCCCGGTGCCCTTCCGCCCATGCACACCCCGCCCTCTGGGCACGCGCTGCAGAGCCCGGTCGCGGCATCGCCGTAGTAGCCCGGCCCACACACGCACGCCTCACGCGACGTCGCACCCGCCGAGCTCGTCACCGCGCCGACTGGGCATGCCTCGCACCGCGTCGACGTCGGATCGCTGAGGTACATTCCATGCGGACAGGCGTACGTTGCCGCCAGCGAGAACGTCGCCGCGCCCGACGCCGCGCCCACACCCACATAGTACCGCGAACTCGTCGCACTCGCCACGACGATCGTCTGGCGTGCGCTCGCATCGTCTTCGCTCGACACATACGTGGCCTCCCCTGCCCGCGGAAACCGCATCACCTCGTCGCCGGTCCCATTACCAGAGTTAGCATACAGCTTGATAGAGCCAGCAGCCGGCGCACCGGGAATTGGAAGGCTCGCAGACGAGCCTGTGATGACAAGCTCGCCGCCGGGCGTCTCCAACTCGACCGTAAAGTATGCGTAGCCGACTGCCGATGCCGGCACCGTCGGGAGGATCCGGTGGATGCCAAGGACGCCGTTGCTGGGGGCGGGCGCAGGCGTCGGCGACGGCGTCACCGAGCCGCGGACAGTAAAGGTCCGCACGTTCGACATAGCGCTCACGGCCCCGTTGGTCGCCTGCACCGCCCACGCGTACGTCGTGCCTGGCTGAATCGACGCCTGCGTGAGGACAAGAAACGGCTCGTGCGACGCCGTCAGCCCCGACCCAACCTGCCCCGGTGCATCAAAGCTGGCATTCAGCGGCGCAAGCGATGAGCCCTCGCGGACGAGCACGCGGTACTTCCATCCGCTAGCTTCGGTCGAGCCTGTACCGCCGGCCTCGGCCGCAAGCGCGGCGCAGTTGACGCCCCATTCCGAGACCGGCTCCCAGCTGAGACGGACGCCGACGTCCACCGCCGCGCCGGCTGCCGGTGAAATAAGCTGCGGCGTCTCGGGCGGGGCTGGCGCCGTGCAGCTCACTAGCGAGAGGAGCCATCCAAGGTTGGCGGCCGTCGTCGACTGGAAGAACAACACATTTGGCGCCGTCAGCTCGCGGGTCATCAGCACAGCCGATCCGCCCGACGGAATGACGTCGCTGCCCGAGCCAAACGCGCTCGCCGCCACAGAATTGCCATCGCCCGATGGCATCCCTCCCCCTGACGTGTGCCCGAAGACCACGCCGGGCGTCGTTGTCAGGTACACCGTGTGCGGCGACTCGTTGACAAGCGTGTAGTTGCGTCCAACCAAAAGCGTTGCCCCGCCCGACGCATCGTACGGACCACCAGGCCCACGCGAGAGCCCAATGAGCGCTCCCGTCGTCGTCGCATCCCGCCATCCGGGCTTGAGTGCCCCTCCCGACGCAGTACCCAGATACAGCCGCTGCTCGTGGGCCGCACTCGCCTCGGCTTGGCCCGCCCCGCCACCACCACCACCATCGCCACCGCCACCGTCACCACCAACGCCATACACACACGCGCTGCTACTTGGAACATCCGCATACACACTCTCCTCTTCCCCTTTGTAGACCTCACCGAGAGTGCAGTGGTCCCTACCCTGCCAGAGAACCCTCTGGCAACCCCCCCCCCCCTCCTCTCCCCAAAGCCCTCTCCCACCTTCCTTCTTATCACTTTTGCCATTTGTTCGCTGATTCGCTGCTTCCCGGTACAATCACCCCATAATTGTGGTACTTTGATACAGCCGAGAGATGCTTGATGCAACCAATCGCGTCACACCGGCTACAAGCCTGCCACACAGTGCCAACACGACCAGCTCCTACCTTGTGGTTCAAACCATCTCAAGTATCGCTCATGCTCAACTAGATTGGGGTATCGCAAGCCCATGGCCAGTGCAGAGTCAGTCTCGCTCCGGTCGCTGAGCCTGCCACCCGCCCACACCTGTGTGACGTTTGCTCAAACTCCTTCTGCCGCAAAGAACCGGAGCTACGAGACGAGCGGCTCGATCGGCCCCTGCCTTGGGACATTGCTGACAAAGGCCTGCAGAGAACATGATATGGCAACACACGTCGCGGTAACACAGGAGGGAGTTGCGCACTTGGGCTTGCCCCCTACCTCCCCCTCCCCTCCCCTCTTCCCCTCTACTCTTGCTCGTTGGCCTTCTCGGTGTTGGTCAAGGCCTTGCTTCCGGACTGCCACTTCTTGCTGCTCACCCGCAACGGGCATGCCGTGGCCGACGTCCAAGGTCTCGCCGCAGGCCCGCGCCGAACCCTCAGCAGATTCAACGCATACAGACCAGGAGAATGTGTATACGTCGTCGCAGCTGATCACGGCGTCGTCTTCGTCGTCCTCGTCGTCGCCGCCGCCGGTCTCCAACTCGCAGCCCATGGCCCCGACCGGGGCGCCACAACTCCCCGCGCCCGCACCTGGACACAACGGCCAGCCGCCGCCGCAACATGCCCCCCAGTCAGCAGACCAGCCACGGTCTCGCCCGACATCAGTCTCACCGAGCTCTGCTAATGCACCATATATGCCAAACACGATCGTGCGCGGCTCGCCGTCGCGCCGCTCTGGGTCGTCAGCAACATCGATCGCCACCGATACCTCGGTCATTGCCCGCTTGCCGACCCACGCCATAGGTACGACCATCGTCAACGGGCTTTCGTCACGCCGGCGGTCGTCGATTCGGTCGGCGCCGACCGAGTCGCTCGAAGACGTGCCCGAAGGCTGCGTCCTCTCCCACACGCGCGGGGAGTCACAGTTGCACACCATTTTGGTGACTCAGGCCTCGATCACACCGCGGCCAGCAGGCCTCGGCGCCGTAGCGGAGGCCAAGGGATTTTCCACCCCGCAAAAGTCGCCGCCTGTCATCAGGCCCAAGCTTGGCAGCAACCTCTCGCACCAGTCGTCGGTGAGCTCGCTGTTTGACGGCTCCGAGTCCGGCTGGGTCAACCACGACCCAGCCATGATGGAGCTTCCGCTCTCATCGCGACTGCACGAGTCGTCGGGCTCGTCCGTGCTCGCCTCCAACCGCGGCCACGAACACCTCTCGCAGAGCGAAGGCGTAGTTTACTCGATGGGGGCTGGACCTGTCGGTGCGCCTGATGATGGACAGGCTGGGCAGGGGAGCTCGGCCGCGCGCGGAATCGTCAAGCTGTGCGGCCACGAGATGGAGATACCCTGGCTCCGCGAGTCGTATCTGCCTCGCACCTCGCTTCGCGACTTTCACTGGCAGCAGGAGCGAGTCCTAGTTCTTGCCACCACGATCATCATGCTCATGCTCATTTTGATCCGCCTCACCAACCTCACTACTGAAGGCGACGAGCCGCTGATGGCCGTCTCGTTTGGCGTCCTCTTTACATTCACCCTTGTCCCGCTCACGCTGGCGCTCCCATGTGTGGTAGACCAGTCGCGGTACGGCCTGCTCATGCGGATGTGGGCCGTCGCCGCCTGCTACTTTACGTGTCTCATCCAAACAGCGACGAGCAACCAAGCGTTTTGGATTCTCCTTCCGCTCCCCATCCCGCTCTTTGTCCTCTCGCCGCGCTACGCCGGCGTCGCCATCGTCGTCATTTACGTTGTCTCGCTCGGTGTCCTGGTTGGCGCTGACATCGAGCGCGACGGCGACTCGCTTGTCCGCTACGCTCTGGCGCTCACCGGCTGCACCATTATCTTTGGCATCCATACTTTTATGCTAATGTGGCGGAATCGCGAGGCCGTTATCTGGGAGAAGCTGTATGGTGTGGTGCTCAACGGAACGTTTGAAGGCATTGTCCTCCTCGACGATCGGCTCCTCATCCGCCGCTACAACCTCATCATGCTTCAGATGTTTGGCTCGTCGACACTGCTCGACGGCCAGCCGCTGGAGAACATCATTGCGCCTCACGACCGCGCGCGCCTCCTCGCCGCCCTCGAGGCGGCGGCCTCGTCGCGGATGCTCATCGAGGTCGAAGCCCAGGCCGGGCCCGGCGCGCCGTCGTTCCCTGTTGAGGTCTCCATCATGCGCATCTCCGGCTTTGTCATTTGCTCTCTCCGCAATATGATCCACCGCAAGGAGATCGAGAACATGCTGCTCGAGGCCAAAGAGTCAGAGCTCATTGCCAAAGAGTCGCTCATCCAGGAGGCGCGCCGGCAAGCCCAGATGAAGTCTTCGTTTGTCTCCACCGTCACCCACGAGCTCCGCACTCCGCTCAACGCCGTCATCGGCATGTCGCAGATTCTGTCGTCGATGCGGCTCAACGCCGAGCAGGCCAACTGCGCAGAAGTCATCCGGACCGCCTCGGAGTCGCTTCTCGACCTTGTCAACGACATCCTCGACAACGAGAAGATCGACGCCGACGCCTTTGAGTTTGAGGAGCGCCACTGTGACCTCAACGGCATTGTCTGGTCCTCGCTTTCCATCGTTGCGCCCAAGGCCTTTGAAAAGTCGGTCGAAATCGGGTATCGCGCGGCGCCCGACCTGCCGCCGGCTGTCACCGGCGACCCCTCGCGGTACAAGCAAGTGCTCCTCAATCTTCTCTCCAACGCCGTCAAGTTTACGCCGGGTGGCGGGCACGTCATTGTCACCGTCTCAGCCACGCGCCTTGCCGACTCGGACGACATTGTTGTTGAGACGCGAGTCATCGACTCTGGCATCGGCATTGCGCCCGAGGAAATGTCGCGCCTGTTTGTGCCGTTTGGCCAGGCCGCGGTCTCGACCCAGCGCGAGTACGGTGGAACCGGGCTGGGCCTTTCCATCTCGCGCAAGCTCGCCCAGCGCATGGGCGGCGACATTGCGGTCAAGTCCAAGAAGAACCGTGGGACCACGTTTTCGTTCACCGCCACCTTTGGTTCGGTCATTGCCCCGGGCTCGTCGCTCATGCGCGACGAGCTCCGCCTCGCTGTTCCGGGCAATGTTGTCGTTGTCTACCGCAACAAGCGCATCCGCTCCATCATCCGTCGCCAGATGGAAGACTGGAACATCGAAGTTCAGATGGCCGGCACACTCGACGACGTCAAGCCCAAGCCTGGCACCGTTGCCTGCCTCATCCTCGAGGCCGAGTACATCAAGAACTCGGCCATCGGCTCGATGCTCGCTGAAAACTTCCCCACCGTCGTCATCACCATCCCGGGTGCCGAGCACGAGCTTCTCACCTCGCTCTCGAAGACCGCCAAGGCTCTGACGGCGGTGAACAAGCCGCTCTCATGGGAGCAGCTCAAGCGGGCTATGATTGACTCGACCACCATCTTTGCTCACGCTACACGCCCGCAGGTGCCTGGCACCTCAGCCCCAGCGCCGGCCATGATCCGCTCGGCCGATGGACCCATCTCGCCGCGTGCCACCTCGTCTGTATCGGGCCGCAATGTCGACCAGTCAGGCAACGAAGGTGACGGCGCCAAGTTTGACGGCGTCCGCTCCTCGTCCGCCGTCGGAAATGCTATCACCTCGCATCCGCCCAACGGCCTCGCCACCTCGTCATCAGGCACTATGTCCGGTCGCAACATCTCGTTTCTCGGCGGTGCTGCCGCGATGGCGGCCTCGGCCATGGCTTCGCTTGTTGAACAGCCGTATGAGAACTCCAACTCGTCAGGCCGCCTGGTACGGTCCACCGGCTCCGGAACGGCGGCCGGGAGCTCGGACTACGGCGGCGGTGGTGGGAGCGGAGTGACATCTGTGGGTGGTGGTGGGAGCGGTGACGGCCTAGCCTCGCCGCGCTCGACTGTATCACCGATTGGGCGCTCAATCGAACACTCGCGTGAGCACCCGTCACGTGGCTCGTCGCGCGGGCGCGGACGCCCAAGGCGAGCAATGCACCAAGTCGGCAGCTGCCCGTTGTAGATGCAGATGCCGTCAAGAAGGCCATGCGCATCGCGGTTGTCGACGACGAGCCGCTCTCGGCACGGGTATCGGGCCAGCTGGTGAAGGCGGTTGGCTACGTCAACGTTGATGTCTTTACCAAGGGCGCCGACCTTGTGGAGAAGCATAGCGCGGACCCGTACCACATCATCTTCCTCGATCTGCACATGCCAGGTATGGACGGCTACGAGACGGCGACCCGAATTCTAGCAACCGACGTGCCCAAGGAGCGCACGCCGGCACTGCTGGCGCTGTCAGGCACGTCTGTGGCCGAGGAAATGACGCGGGCCATCAACGTTGGATTTCTGGAGGTGGTGGGCAAGCCGCTGCGGCTTGACACGCTTGCCCAGGTCCTCGACCGGGTTTCATCCTCGCTGCGGCTCACAGTGGTGCCGCTCTCGCGGCGGGCGTCGCTGGTCGCGGGCACGCCATCGAGCCCACCGCCGCCATCGTCGGCGTCTAAGCCGCCTGCCGCTCGGGCGTCGTCGGTCTCGTCACTTCGCTCATACCAGTCAGGCGTCTCGGGCGAGGACGCCAACGATGCGCCGGTCCGATCCATCATGGCGCTGACAATGGATACCAAGGGCGACACGTTTGTGGACGAAGCGCGCTCGCTCTTCTCGGCACCTGACTCGGTCCCAGCCGGGCCGCCACCGGTCATCCTTGTTGTCGACGGAAACACCGTCCATGCCACGTCGATCTGCACCATGCTTCGTCGTTTCCGCCTCGATGCGCAGTCGATCTCGTCGGGCGAGGCCGTCATCGAAAAGTGGCGCTCATACCGCAAGGGCACGGTCAAAATCATCCTCATGTCGCTCATCCTTCCCGACACTGACGGCTCGGCCGTCACCTCGCAGATCCGCGAGATCGAGTACGCGCTCAACCTCCCGCCCGTCCCCATCATCATCATGGGCACTAAGACGCAGTCGCCGCTCTTCCGCAGGTGCGAGGCCGCCGGTGCCACTGAGTGTGTGACCAAGCCCATCCATCGCGCCCACCTCGTGCAAAAGCTCCGCCAGTACATTGTGCTCGTCCGCGAGCGCTCAATGTCATCAGATCTGCTCGGCCCGGGCGAGCGGCACAATCACTCGTTCACCTCGCAGTCGAACACGTCGGGGTGGATCTCCATCCCAGCCTCGCATGCCTCGTCGTTTGTCCACAACGCCGCACCAGTGTCCGACGATGTCCAGGCCGAGATCCTCAACAAGCTCCATCCGCCGGAAGAGATTCTCTCGTCGCACTCAAACTCATCTTCATCAGAAGTCACCCCGCTCGGCTCCAGTGTCACCGTCGGCTCGACGCACTCGCGCTCGTGCACTGGCGCGTCGTCGGTCTCGTTCGACTGCAACTGCACCAACCCAGACCTCGCCAACTTTGTTAATGCCTCGCGCCGTGCATCGGTCGTCAAGCCACCCGCCCGCTCGCCTTCGGGCAACTCGCTCGCGCCTCCTGCTCAGGGCAAGCCCAAGGCCAAGTCCCCAGCGAAGTCCCCAGCCAAGCCCAAGCGCAACGGCAAGTCACAAGCGGCGTCGAGCACGTCGATCGAGTCGTCGAAGACCAAGTCGACGAGCAAGTCGAAGACCAAGTCGAAGACCAAGTCAACGAGTAAGTCGACGAGAAAGTCGAAGAGCAAGGTGAGTAAGTCGCAGAGTAAGTCGATCGATGCGTCAAAGGAGTAGCGTAGTCAAGCTCGCCCGGGCCCGGGCTGCCGCCTCGTTCAACCAAACACCACCAAACAGCCACAACTGCCGACAGCTCGCCAGTGGGCCACACGTGACTGCCGCAGCCATGGGCCGCAAGAAAAAGTCGAGCTCTGAGGGTCCCGCCAAGGCGACCTCTGTCATGCGGACGGGTGGCGAGATTGATGGTAGGTGGTGGGTAGCGGTGCTGAACAGCGGGAGTGGAGCCAAGAGAATGGGTGGTTGCGAAGGGGGGGTGGTGAAGGGGGAGGGTGTGTCGCTTTGGTCGCTCGGCTGCTGCGGCATGTGCGTTGGGCCATTTTTTCAGTCTGTGGCGAGGCAGGCGAGGCAGCGAGGGAAAGGCGGCAAGGAGGGAGGGCGGAGGGGGGTAAAGGAAAGGACAGGAAGACTCATGTGTGTGTGGTGTGGTGTGGATGGGGGGACACGGGGATGTGTGGTGTAGAGCTGACGCTTGCGCTCTTCCATGCGGTGCATGACAAGGACAACGGGGTTCACGAGGCCGTCTCGCAGGCCATTCGTGACGTGGGCCTCCAGCAGCCGGAGATGGTTCTCTCGACGGGCGCGGCGTTTCTCAACAACAACCGCAAGGTGCCGCGGACGCACCGCGTGCTTGTGCTGACTGACATGCACGCTGTGCTTGTGGACGCTCTGGACGACATTCCCAAGTCGCTTGGGCGGAATCTGGTGGCGCTCGGAATGACGGAGATGACGGGGACCAAGGACGTGAAGGCCGACTGGCAGGGCGCAGCGTCGACGCTGCTGGTGGAGCTCGGCAAGCGGTTTGGGGCCGAGGTCCTGGACTCGCTGCTTGGACACTTTGAGCCGAACACCATGCCGCACTACTTTACCCTCAAGACCATGGGCGACTTTGCGCGATCAAACCCGATGTACCTGGTCCCAAACCTCAAGTCTATTCTGGGGCGGATGCTTCCGCTGCTTGGTGGCATCAAGCACAACAACCAAAAGTGGGTGTTTGCGGCGTCGATGGGTCGGTTCTGCGAGGCCATTCGGTTCTACCTCGAGGAGGCGGACGATCCCGAGGTGTCGATGGAGACCTTTGAGGGCGAAGTGTTCTCGGCTATGGAACTGATGTTCAACACATGGCTGGAGAACAAGGAGATCCGACTGGCGACACTCGAGGCGATCGGCAACATGTCTGCGCTCATTGCGCGCGACGAGTTTGAGTCGTGGCTCCCCAAGCTGGTCAACACCTTTATCCTCTCGTACAAAAAGACCAAGACACCGCTGCCGATCACGCAGGGTCTGGTGACCATTCTGGAGACGTCGATCCGTGAGGGCTCGCGGGCTCTCGACTGCTGCCTCAAGGAGACGATGGCCGGTCTGCACCCGTACGTGTGCATGCCTGTGGACGAGTCGAACCCGGACTCGGTGATGAACCACGAGGAGCTGCTCCGGTGCTACGAGGTGATTGGGCGGGTGTTCTCCGAGTACCTTGTCGACTTTCTGGTCCGGCGGTGCGACGAGAAGACGCCGGCGTCGCGAATCGGAACGCTTGCGGTCCTTCGGCACATTGTGCTTGTGCTTGACGAAGAGCTCGAGTCACAGAAGGAGCTCATTGTGTCGGGCATCAAGCCGCTGCTTGCCGATGACGACTTTGAGGTCCGGCGGGCGTTCTCCAAGACCATTGTGGCTATGGCGCAGTACGACTACCTCTCGCTCGAGGGCGGCGAGTACCTTGTCGAGTACGTGGTGGCCAACGCGGCTATTCCGCACTCTGTGGTGGCCAATGCCAAGGCTGTTGCGATGAAACGGGCTAAGAAGGGCGCGGCGGTGCCCAAGGGCACGTCGCCGGGCGCACTGCGCAAGGCCTCGGACGTCATCCTCCATACCATGACGCGCGACATGCCCAACATGACCGACGTGCTCTGGCCGTTCCTCCTCGAGTGCATCGAGCCGGCCAAGTTTACCATCGCGGCGGCGTCGGTGTGCAAGTCGCTCTCGTACCTGGCGGATCTCAAGCGCGACGCCGAAGACGACGACTACTACATCGACTTTGACCGGCAGGTTAACTTGCCCAAGCCGCAGGCCATCATTGCGCGGCTCCTGACGCTGCTCTCGACGCCGAACGAGCGCGGCTCGCTGGGCCTCGCCATTCTGCAGCTCCTCCTCGCGCTCTCGGAGATCCTGCACCCGTCGATTGCCGACATGTGGTTTGACCTTGTTCCCAAGCTTGTCAAGTGGCTCAAGGCCCACCGCGGTGACGACTACAAGCAGGCGGCCTGGGAGGAGCTCATTCTCCGCTTCCTCTCGCTCACCATCGACGAGGTCAACGACGACGACTGGACCATCACGCTCGGCCACAACCTCTCGAACCAGTTTGAGCTGTACCAGGGAGAGTACACCGGGTACAAGCGGATGGTGCACAAGCTGCTTGGCACGGTGCTCAAAAAGACGCGCCACAAGAAGTTTGTGCGCGAGCAACTTGCCGACATGTTTGCCACTCTCGACTGGGCCGACGCCGACGAGCGGACCGGCTTTGCACAGGGCTACGGCATGGCGGCGTCAACGCACCTCGACTCGGTGCTGGAGAAGTTGCAGCACCTGATGAAGAACGACATGGTCCGCAAGTCCAAGGGCTTCCTCGGCCTCAAGAAAGACAAGTCGCAGAGCGATGTGGAGAACATCCGGTGCTCGGTGGTGCTCTCGTTTGGCTACGCTGCCACGTACGCCGACAAGAAGCTCATCCAGTCGCGGATCGAGGTTCACATCATCAACCACCTCCTCCCGCAGTTTGTCTCGGCCAAGCTCCCGTCGGTCCAGGAGGCGCTTGTCCGCGCCTCAGACCTCATCGGCAAGGCCATGCATCCGGACAAGCTCGGCGACGCCAAGTTTGTGCTCAAGCAGCGCGACGATCTCCTCACTGCCGTTGTGGGCTTCATCTCGTCGAACACGACCAACTCGGTCAAGAAAATGGGCTTTGGCTGCTGCGAGACGCTTGTCCGCCTCCTTCCAATCCTCGACCCAGAGCTTCTGACCATGCTGGTCTCTTCGGCGGCGCCGCAGGCGTACGACCTGGTCCTCGAGTCGAGTGGGCGGAAGAAGCGGCGGAAACGCAAGGTGAAGGCGTCAGACGCCGCCGACGGCTCGGACGAGGCCGGCCCGTCGGCGTCGCGCAAGAAGGGCGACGAGGCGGAGAGCGCCGACATCGGCGACGACGATGAGGAGGTCGACGAGGTCGACGAGGAGGCTGCCGCTGAGGCGGAGGCGCTGGCGACGCTCAACGATGCGCTGGCAAACCACAACAACATGGTCTCTGCGCTGCTGTACATGGACACGCGGCTGGAGACGCTGCTCACCCTCTTCCGCAACCTCGAGTCGTTTGTGGCGTCGTCGTCGCCGGACCGGCGGGCGCGGAGCGTGGTCACCTTCCAGCACCTGCTCACCAAGTACGTCTCGTACAAGCGGGCCGAGGACGAGCCGAGCCGCGACCGCGAGTCGTTTGAGGAGATGGGCCACTGGATCGGAGTCATGATTCCGCGGTGCACGGATCCGGACGAGGAGGTCCGCGTCACGGCCTTGTCCAACATCGAGCTCCTGCTGTACATCGACTACGTGCTTGTCAACGACAACTACGGCGTGGCGCCGTCGGACTTTATCAAGCACATCTCGACGCTCAAGGAGCGGATCCGCGAGGACGAGCTCAACGCGCAGTTTGCCGTCGTCAACGAGCTCACGCGGGTTCTTGTCAAGACGGTGCCCGAGACGGAGCTGCCGGACCTGCTCATGGCGCTCATGGACGGACTAGTTGATCCGGAGGAGTCATCGGCCAACGGGACGTGCGTGGTGCTCAACGGGCTGATGCGGTCACGCGGACGTGAGCTGGAGGAGCACATCGGGCAGCTCATCCACGCCATGCTCTTTGCCATGGAGAACATTACGACGGAGCAGACGATGAACGGAACGCTGCATGCGCTGCGGACGCTCGGCACCCACCACCTGACGGGCGTGGTGGACGAGCTCCTCACGACGCCGCTCCCGCAGACCACGCATGTCATCAAGTCGCTGCAGGTGCTGGGCAAGGACGTCAAGCTCGCCATGCCGATGATCGACCACCTCAAGGACATCATGAACAACGACATGCCGTATGAGGTCTCGCAAGTCTCGCAGAAGAAGTTTGTCAAGAAGGTCAAGTCCAAGCCTATGGCCGCCACCGCCGCCATTGCCAACATCTTTGACGCCGAGGAGCTCGAAGACACAGCGAGCTCGGACCTTGCGGCGCTGCTTTCGACGCTCATTCTCCGCGTCGGCACCGTGGCCAACGTCGTCGAGGACGAGGCGCGGACTTATGTGGTCGAGGCGCTGCGGCGGCTGCTCAACTGCGCCCAGCTCGATGAGCTCATGGCCGACCTCGAGGAAGCTGGCGTGCTGGAGCAGCTGAGCACGAGCGCGTACCCGGACGCGCTCACCGACCTCGCTCGCCTGGTGTGCGAGCACCTGCCAGACCACCTCCGCGAGATCTACGTCTTCCTCTCGCCCTTCCTCTCGCGTAACTACGAGGAGCAGCGTGTGGCCGTCGCCGCCGTCTTTGCCGAGTTTATCAACAACTGCGACGAGGATGTCGAGCTCCTCAAGAAGCTCCTCAACGCCCTGCTTGTTCGCCTCGTCGACGACGACCCGACGGTCAAGCTTCTCTCGCTCCGCGGACTCGGCAACCTCGCGTCCGCCGGTGAGGACGAGGTCAACAAGTACTCGACAACCGTCCTGTCGGCGCTGATGGGCGGCATCGACGACGCCACCGAAGTCATCGCTCTCGAGGCCATGTCCGGCCTCTCTAAGATCCTCGAGCTGGTCGACGAGGCCAACGTGGCGCCGGTCCTCATCACTCTCTGCCTCCGCATGAAGCCCTCGTTCCGCGACGCCAACCCGGCCATCCGTGCCGCCGCCATCACTCTCTTTGGCACGCTGTGGCGGTTCGGCAACCACGGCGAGTCCGAGGCCGACTTTTTCGAACAGATCCAGGCCAACCTCATGGCCTTTGTCCTTCATGCCGATGACGACGACGAGGACGTCGCGGCCGCCAGCCGCCACGCCCTCTTCCTCCTTGCCGAGCTCCTCCGCCACGACGACATCGCCGAGCTCTTCCAGGCTCTCGAGGAGGACGAGCCCGACTACGAGGACTGGCTCGACTCGGTCTCACAGACCCTCATCGCCCACTTCCCCGAGCGCCTCAACTACTACGTCATGGAGTGCGTCGCCTTTTTCGCCCACAAATCGTGGCACCACACCAAGGCCAACGCCGCCATCCTCACTGGCTTTTTCATCGGCAACATGGACGACGACCATCGCCGGACCGTCAACCTCTCCCACGTCTGCGGCGCGCTCAAGAACCTTCTCCGCGAGCCGTCGGCCCGCGTTCGGGTCAAGGCTGCCGAGGCCATTGCGCTGCTCTATGATGTGTAAACCCATACCCGCGATCCTCTTGTCCCAGAGTGGGCGACAGTCTTTGCGTCATTGCGTGACTAAAACCGCTGCTGTGGCCATCGTCAGCCACGCCAGCAGCAAGGGCGGGCATGACACACCTGCGCCATGCAAACCATGTCAGTCGATCACCCGTTCGAATTCGTTTGCCACCACTGGCCCAAACAAGCCCAACACAGCGACCACTCGGCTCGTTAGCAGCTGCCAGTCATGGTACTCATTCGAGAATTGTACGCAATGACACATGCCCCTCCTCACCCTCTCACCCCCATATACGTATACACATGCTCCCCTCCCATCCCCCCACCCCCCCACCCTCTTCCCTTCTTCAATTCCGCATCTCAGGCTAGTCCTGTCCCAGCTGCAGTGGAGAGAAAGAAGCACCCGGCCGGTGGAACGGACGCCAACCCTCGCCCTCCCTCCCGCCCGCCGCTCCCTCCCCTCCCCTCCCCCACCGCCGCCCCCCCTTCCCCTCCCTCTGCTACCCCCCCCCCTCCCCTCCCCCATCCCTATATATTCTTGGTTATCCCCTCCTTCTCCTCCTCACACCGCCTCCCCCCGCCCCCCACCTCCCCTGCCCTCGCCCCCCCCCCCACCCCGCCCTCTGTCGCACATGGTTTTTCGACGGCGGCTGCCACTGCCCCCCTCCTCCTCCCTTCCCCCCCCCTCTCCCACCCCACACACACTCTCTCTCACACACACACTTGCTCACTCACCTCCTCGCTTTACCCATAATGATGCAGCCGTATCCCCATGCCGGTCACGGTCGATGAGTTCCAGATCGGACAGCTGTACGCAACGGCCAAGGCGTCGCGGCAGGCGACGGCCGAGGGCAAGAACACCGATGGCTCTGGAGTGGACGTGCTCGTCAATCGGCCATATGAGGATGACGAGATGGGCAAGGGACAGTACACGGAAAAGACGTATGAGCTTGGTGGCAACGTCCCGTCGTTCCTCCGCAAGATCATGCCCAAGACGGCACTGCTGCTGGAGGAGAAGGCGTGGAACGGGTTCCCACACTGTAAGACCATTCTCTCGTCGCCGTACTTTCAAGAAAAGGTCAAGTTTATTATCGAGACGCAGCACCTGCCCGGTGGGCCCGACGCAGACAACGCGCTCGATCTCCCGCCCGAGCTGCTCGAGAAGCGCGAGGTGGTGTACATCGACATTGCCGCCGACGACGAGTTTGTAGACAAGAAGCACTACAAGGAAGAGGAGGATCCCAAGCTGTTCCTCTCGGAAATGACCGGGCGCGGACAGCTGACGGCCCCGGATTGGACCAAGACCACCGAGCCGCTGATGACATGCTACAAGCTCGTCACCATCGAGTTCAACTACTGGGGGCTGCAGGGCAAGGTCGAGCGGTGGGCGCAGGGCTTTGAGCGCAAGCTCTTTACCCGCTTCCACCGGCAGGTCTTCTGCTGGATTGACGAGTGGTTTGGCTGGGACATGGTTGACATCCGCGCGTACGAGGACCAGACAGCGCGCCTGCTGCGAGAGGAGGACATTTCCAACGACCCGCCGATTCCACGGCCCAAGCCCGAAAAGATCGAGGCTGCTGAGGCTGACGCCGCCGCGGCTGGCCGTGGCGACGCCGGTACGCCCGAGAAGAGTCCGCGCCGCTCGCGCCGCTCGCGCCGCGGCGACAAAGGCAAGGAGTCGGTTGATGAGCTTTCATCCGACGAGTCCAAGGCCACCGCCATCCGTATCCACGCCGCCGACGGCGATGACGCCGGTTCGCGCGCCTCGGGCCGCTCGCGCCGCAAGCATCGCCGCCGCTCGCGCCATGGCGGTGGGGACAACGAGACAGGCTCGCGCGCTTCGCTCGCGGTCACCCGCGTCCGCTCGCATGGCACCACGCTCTCGGACGCCGGATCGGACACGTCGGCATCGGCGCTTTCGCGCCGCTCCGAGGTCTCGTCGCGGGCCTCATCACGCGCCTCGTCGTGTACCCCGCGCTCGGGCCACCGCTCGCGCCGCAAGCACCGAGCACATCACGCCCGCTCCCACGCCGACGACAATGCTGCCGATGGCACTGCCAAGGCCAAGTCCAAGGCCAAGTCCAAGTCGAGCCGCTCGCGCCGTCGCGAGCCCGAGCTCGACGAGGTCGCCGTGCCGACCGATGATCCGCAGGATGAGTTCTTCACCGCCCAGGAGGGCCCCGGTGCCCTCTCGGCTGGGGCTCGCGAGGCAGGCTACGGCCGTGCCCATGGTGTTGCCATCCCGGCGCCGGCGTCGGCGACCACCACCCATGAAGCCAAGCCCAAGTCCAAGTCCAAGTCCAAGTCCAAGCGCTCAAAGCGGGCAGCAACAAGCGAGGCCAAGAAGTCTGCTGATGACAATGACAAGCCCGATGATGGCAAGGGGGCTGAGACCGGCGGTTCGTCATGGTTTTCGTCCGAGTAACAACAGCTAGCAATCAAACAGCACCAGCACCGGGAGTGGGGGAGGGGGGGGGGGTAAGGAGGAACAGTAGGTTGGGTTCGGTTTAAGCCTCCGAAGGGATGGACTGGATGATGTCCGAGTCACCCTCGTCGATGACGGCCATCATCGAGACGCGGAAGTACTGACCGCAGGCGGCGCCGAGGTCGTTGTTGGTGCCGTCGTAGTGGTGGACGCCAGTCTTGGCGAGCATCGAGTAGTACTCGAGCTCCGACTTGACAAGCGGGGGAGTGTTCGACGAGAGCAGGACAAGCTTGGCCTTGCCGGCACGGAGCGCCTTGAGGGTCTGCTTGTAGCCGAGGCAGAACTTGCCCGACTTCATGACCAGCGCGAGGTGGCTGTTGATCGACTCAGAGCCGCCCTACAGAACCCGATGGAAGCCATTTGCTCAGTGAGTCTCTTCCTCTCCATGCATACTCTCGCTCTCACGCAAAGAAACCTCCTCCCTGCATACTGCCTCTGGCAAAATGCCCAACCGGCTTCTGCTGCTCCTGCCGCCCGCCTGCCATGCCGGGGGGACGAGGGGGTCCTTGGCCAGACCTGGCGGGATCATACAAAAACCGGGCGAAAATAGCCGACCGCGCCACAGCCTCACACCGACACACACACCGGCCCTGCCTCTGCACAAACACCCGTATGCCTGCCGCATCCTGCAACCAAGCTCGTAGTGCGGGGAGTGGTCGCCTCGGACGCATGCTTGCCCGTGGCGGGGAGGCAGAGTGCCGCGGCGAGGCCGAGGCATCAGACGCCAAATTCCATCCGTCCAAGGCGAGGCGGTGTGGGCAAAGCGGAGGCGGGAGGGGGACGGAGAAGGCGGGCTTGAAGTACGAGCAGTAGTAGAGCGGGTAGGGGGGGGAGGGGGGGAGGGGGGGAGGGTATGTGTTGTATGTGGAGGGCAGGGGGGGAGGGGGGCGACTGGGAGGAAGACGTACCTTCTTCTTCGTGGCAACCATTGTGTCTGTGTGTGGAGAGGTGTGAAAGTGGCTTGGGAACGAACGAAGTCGTTGATGGAAAACGAATGATGTGACGAGCGAATAGTCACTGGCGGCGAATGAAACGGAAGAATGATTTGATTGGCAGAGAGGCCTCGTCTCGCCTCGCCTCACCTCTGCTTGGGCCAAGTGAGCTACTGATGAGCGGGCGGGTGATGTCGGGCCATGGGTGATAGATAGCATCTGATGTATAGCTTTAAGGCACATTTGTTAGAAGATTGCGATTGATGGCGATGAGCCAGAGCAGTTGAGGTCACGCTGTTACCTTCTCGTCGGTGGCTTGGCTTTGAACGACACGACCGAGGTGCGAAGGATGTGGGTGATATGCTCGAGCGACGGGCGCTGAGCTGGGTCGTCAGACCAACAGGCAGTGATGAGGTCGGCTAGGGTGGCGTCGCTGATGCGGGCAGCGGCGTCGGGGCGGTATCCGGTTGAGATGCGGTAGCCGACCTCGAGGGCGTTGGTGCCCTGGAACGGCGGCTCACGGGCGACAATCTCGTAGAGGAGCGAGCCAAGCACAAAAATGTCGCCGGTGATGGTCGCTGCCGAGCCGCGGATGTCCTCGGGCGACATGTACGCGACCGAGGGAATCATGGTCATGGTACCCATGTTGGATTTGATGGCTGAGAGGCCATAGTCGATGAGCCGGACGGCCGGCTTCGTCGCGTCGCCAGTCTCGTTGGTGACAATGATGACGTTGGACGGGCGCAGCGCGCCGTGGCCGCGCTTGGTCACCTTGTGCAGGACGTCGAGAGTCTCGGCGAGCGAGATCGCAACGGTCATGGCGTTGTCGGGCGAGATGGTTGACAGCACGTCGGCGAGCGAGCCGCGCGGATAGGCCGGGAAAATGAGGCTGATGTAGGGGCGGGAAAAGCAGGCGTGGATCGGCCCCACCAGCAGGCCTGACGAGTCCATGAGCGCGGCCTTGGCGGCTGACGCCGCAAGGACAGCCGTGAGGATGAGATCTGCGACCGGAAGCTTTTGCCGAAGGAAGACCTTGACGATAGCGTTCGGCCCGTCTGGTGCGAGCCGGGCAGGATGGCTCATGGCGTACGAGCCCATCCACGAGTCGGTCGACTCGGCCAAGTAGCGAGCGATGTCGGTCTGGGGAACAAGCCAATCGCTGACGGTGAGCCGGGCCATCTCGGTCGCCGCATCGGGCGACATAGGCAGAGAGGGCAGGCCGGTGTCGAGTGGCGACGGCTCGTCGCCGCTGCGGAGGATCTGGACCACAGAGTCGTCCAGCACCTCGTCCGGGGCGACAAACGAGAGGCCGTGCGTCGAGACCGACGACGTGATCTCCGAGACAATGTCAGCGGTGATAAAGACGGAGAGCGTGGTCGGCGCAACCCGATACGGCTCACCGTAGTACAGGGTGGAGATCAACTTCTCGATGCGCACAATGCCGTCGCCGGTGAGCATACCGCCGGCTTTGGCCACCTCACCGCGAGTAAAGACGACGGCGACCGGGCCGGCGGCCTCGACAACTACTGCAATCTGAGAGACGAAGGCGGTGATGCACTCTGGCGCTTGGGCTGCGAGCGTCTGCGAGTCCAGGGCCCAGTCGATCTTGGCCATGCCGATTCGGCGAGCGAGCTTGTCCATACTGGTATGAAAGGCGGTAAAGGCCGTCTCGGCCGACGACGGCGAGGCAAGCAGCATCTGGGTGGCATGGATGCAAACCACCTTGCACAGAACGAGATTGCCCGATGGCGCCTCGGCCGACGATGGGTAGACGACAGCCTGTGGCGAGTAGAGCTCAGCGAGCGAGACTGCCAGCGCATCAAAGGTTGGGCGATCCCCGGGCGACTGGCGCCAGAGCTGGGTGATGAGCGGGACGAGCGGGGCGAGCCCAGGCAGGATCTTGTCCAGCGACGGCCGGCGGCCATCCATTACGTCGAGTGCCACCGCGAGCGGATTCTCACCTGGGAACAAATTCGAGCGCGTCGCCAGCTCGTACAGCGTGAGGCCGAGCGAGTAAGCGTCCGACGCGGACGACGTGCTCTCCGGGCCGGAGGAGAGGACTTCGGGCGCGGTCCAGAATAGCGTGCCCACATTCTGCCGCGAACCATTGTGACCCGCTGCAGTGCCAAGCGACGAAAACGCCGACGAGGCAACCGAGGTAGCTGGATTGATGGCGTTGCGGGACGAGGCCTTGGCCAGCTTTTCGTCCTTGGCCGTTTCGGTGGGGACGGAGGCCGCCGCCGCCTTGACCGACGACATGCCAAAGTCGGCAATCTTGGGCACCCAAGACGTGTCGAAGAGCACATTGAGCGACTTAAAGTCCGAGTGAATGACACCGGCGTGGGCGAGATATTGCATGCCCTGGGTCATGTTATGCGCCCACTTGAACATGATCGACGGGTCGAGGAAGAGGTCCGGCGCGTGGAGCACGTCGTAGAGCGTGCCACGGTCCATAAACTCGGTGACCAGCTGCGGCGGCTCGAGGGTGATGCCCATAAAAATGACAACGTTGGGATGCCGAAGCCGCATGAGCATGCTCGCCTCGTCCACAAACTCACGCAGCTGCCGCCCCGAGAGCTCGACGCACCGCGTCCGCTTGACTGCCACAGCGGTGGCCCGCCACGTTCCAGCGTACACGGTGCCAAACGAACCCTCGCCAACGGCAGAGCCGATGACCAGCTCGTTGGCGTCGATTACCAGCTCCGAGTCGGAGCTGAGCTTGTAGGTCACCGACTTGCGCCGGTAAAAAAGCAGCCAGCGGCGACGCCGACGAGGACGGCGACGGCAACAAGCGAGAGTACAACAGCAAGGATGAGTGCGGTGTTCGACGACTTGCTCGGCGCATCGAGTGCCATGATGTACGATGTCGTGGTCACATCCGAGTTGCCGAGGCCGGGCGCGATGGCAACCGCGCGCAGATCGATTGTGCCCGAGGTCGAGAGCATGATCGGCTCCGAGTACACGGGCGAGGCTCCGGTTGGGAGCGATCCATCCAGGGTGTAATGGATGGCGGCAGATGAGGTGAGCGTCTCGAGCGTGATGACAATCGGGTTGCGGAACGCGCCCGATGGCGGCGACGCGAGCGGCGCCGACGCTCGCTTCAGGACGGCGGCAACACGCAGCGCCTCGAGCTGCGGCAGCGCAGCGGTGATCGCGGCAGAGGCGACAGAGGCGTTCTGCGCCGTCACCACTTCGATCATGAGCTGCTGCCATTGGGTAATGATGTTGACAAAGCCAAAACCAGACATCGAGGTCCGGAGAACCGAGGCACCGGCCGACGCGTACATGTTGTACCCGACACGGGTCCGGTTGGCCTCGATGGCGTCGGCAAGTGAGATGCGAAGCGGAAAGGCACCCGCAAGGCCGGCAAGGCCGGCACGCTGATAGCTTGAACTGCCCATGACCCGCAGCGCAGCCTTGGCCGACGCCACAAGCCGCGAGTTGATGGGCAAGCCGTAGACCACAATGCCGCCGATGGCAGCGTCGGTGGCCATGCCCGGCCCGGCACTCGCGCCCGGCCCATCGTAGTCAACAGGAAACGGAAAGGCGCCGAGATCGTCCTCGGGCAGTCCAAACAACACAGCGAGGGCGGCCACCGACTCAAAGCCGCAGAACATGGCAGCTTCGCCGGTTGCCAGCGCAGAGGCGTCGACAAGATTTGGCGGCTCCGCTCCTGGCTTGACGACAAACGCGCCGTCGCCAACAAGCGTCAGTAGGGCGTCAAAGGTGGCAGTGACGCGCGGATCGACAAACGTCATGTTTGACGAGGCAAATGAGGCGTAAGCCTCGTTGCCGTGCATGCGAATGAAGAGGTAGTCGAATATCGGCGACGGCGCCATGAAGCTGAGGTCGTTGCCGAGGCAGCCCTGGCCGGCAGCCTGGAGCTTGGCGCAGAGAGCCCGGAAGCCCGACCAGGTAGTTGGCAGATCGTCCGCAAAGATGCCATGGCTGGCAAAAAGGGCTTTGTTGTACATGCAGAGGTTGGCCGAGCCGGCGATGGGCATGCCGTACTTGCGACCGTCGGCGCCGGTGCAAAAGGCCTCGGCAGCCGGAAGCGCATCGCCTGTCATGCCAACCTCGTCCCAAACATCGGTGAGGTCGACGTAGAGTCCGGCATCGATCGACTCGAGACGGCCGGGCCCATTGTAGAGATTCACCAGGTCGGGCGTGAGGAGCGAGGAGACCATGGTCTGATATACTTGTGGATCGGCCGGAAAGTTGATCCGGAACTCGGTGAGGAAGCTCTCGCCAGCACTTGCGTTTGCCACGCTGTTGTACTCGGAGATGAGGTAGCGTTGAAAACGGGTGAGGGCGGAGCCATCGGTGGTATCGAAAACAACACGCATGTCGGGCGCCTCAACTGACGCGACAGCCTTGCCGACCAACAAAGCAGTCACAACAAGGAGCACCAAAGTCCATGCCATAAGCTTCTGGTGTAGACTGCTTGTAGCCGTCATGCACGAGGCTACAGCCCGCTCTTTCGCCATGGCCAATGTGGTTCGAGTTGAGTGATAACCACTCGGAAAGCCTTGGTGCGGTGGCACGACAACAGCGGGGAAATTGGCATTGCTTCCGGCCAGTGGCAACGCAACAGTGGCGAGTGGATGGAAGGAGTGCGAGGGGATCGGATGAGTGCAGAAGGAAGGCGAGTGCGTAAGGAGCTTGTATATGGCAAGGAAGAGGGGGGGGATAGGGAGGGGGGAGGAGGAGCCCAGAAAGTAGCAAGAAGCGTGGGGCAGAGGGTGCGCTGCCTGGTGGTGGGGAATATTGGGACATTGTGCGCATGCCGGCCACTCCATTGCAAACTCTTGTCACAGCTCCACCACCAACATGAGCGTGCGAGGCAAGTTTCGCCGCATCCACATCGTCAAACAGCCTACAGCTGGGTACAACATCAGTGCGATGCCTCTTGAGGCAGGTCGAGCCATTTGGTGCGGTTGACATCTTCATCAAGGATCACTCCCTGGGCTATCGTGTCGCATTCTGCCATCGTGACGGCTTCAACTCGAGAACTCGGCGGCACAGCATGGAAACTTGCGTAACGGGGCAATATCTGGCCGTCGCGTAGATGTGCTGTGCGCATGTGACCTACCGATAGCGAACAGCTTCCCTGATGTAGAACTACCCTGGCGAAGCCGCCTTCCGTGCACGTACCGTCGAGCCGGATGTCGTCGACGCTGCCCCTCCAATGCAAGCAACCATTACAGCCGTAGCCCAGACTGATGACGAGGCTACGACTCTACTGGCCGCCTAGGCGGTGGCGATCTAGTTGGGTCACCCATGATGGCGGCGAGGCTGTGGATGATGGCAATGACGATGACCATGGCTAGCTGAATGGTTGGTGACAGCTAAGCCACACACTCGTGGCGCACACGAGACTTCCTCCGTCCGACGAACCCCGCCAGACTCAACTCTCACCTTTTTTCTCGAAGGGAACACCTCCGGCCGTTCTTTCCACGCGCCGCTTGCGTCCCCCTCCTTCACCTTTCCCACGCTCAACACCCACTCCATCTTCTTCGGAGTGTGCTTGTTGGCGTCCCCTGTGTTCTAACTCTTCCTCCCCCTCCCTCCTTTCGGTCCCGGTCTGTCTTCTGTGTCGCCTTGTGTGACCCCAGCCCGCCCGTACCCCCCCCCCCTCCCCCCCTTGGTCCGTCTTTCTGTTCCTGCATCCATCGCCGACGTCAGCAATGTCGCTTTCCGCTGCACCTCCGCTCGCCACGGCCTCGCTGGCCACAGGCATTGACTTGTTCAACAACTCCTCGCTTGAACTCCTCTCGCCGCGGCTCGGTGACGATTCTCTTCCGCCGCTCCCCGCCTTTGGCTTCGGCGACCATGCCGCCATGCCGCCGGCCGTCGGCGACGTGGCGCTGAACGATTGGCTCGGCGACTGCACGCTCCCGACGCTTGACATGGACATTGCGCCGTCGCCCGAGGCTGACCCGCTTCCGTCGACAAGCGTTTACTCGCCGGCTAGCTCGTACTCGCCGGCCTCGCGCTCGGCGTCGTACTCGCCGGCGCCGCCGTCGCTCGAGTCGAGCCGCTCGCCGCAGGCAACCAACCGCCGCGTGGCCAAGCGCAAGCGGACGCCCAACGCCGACGACGAGCCGGTTGACCCGCACCTCCTCGCGCGAAAGGATGACGTGCCCGAGGAAGTTATCCAGCGCTTGCTCCAGGCAAAGCCGCGCGACCTCACCGAGGAGGAGAAGCGCATCCGCAAGCGGGCCAAGAACCGCCAGTCGGCCGCCGTCGCCCGCGAGAAGCGCCGTGCCAAGCAAATGGCCAAGGCCAATCAGCTCAACCAGTTCAAGGCCAAGAACGAGGCTCTCTCCAACGAGAACGACGCTCTCCGCGCCCGCATCGCCCTCCTCGAGGCCTTTTGCCGCGAGCGCATCGGCTCGCTCCCGGACGACGACGACGCCCGGCCGGCCAAGCGCCAGCGTGGTCTTGCCTAGCTTCGCCTGCCTTTGCCTGCCCTGAGCAATGCAAGACCTCCCAGTAGTTAAAGCACAATTTTCCCAACTCGAGACGTAGCGTGCGGATGCTGCGCGATGAAGTAGCGGATTGCCCAGTCACGCTCCTCGGAGAGTTTAGAGACCCTTGTTCCACATGCACAGTTCAGCCCCAGCTCAACCCCCTCTTCAATCAGTGGCGGCATCGACCTGCTCACTCTCAACAAGATCGTAGACAGCGTCGCACCGGATCATGTACTTGCGCCCGCCCTTGACCGGCGACGACTTGTGCAGCCGGCGATGCGGCATGATGACAACCCGCCCGGCAGCAGGCGGCACCGACGCCACAACCTCACACTCGGACGGATCGGCAAACTTGGAGCTTCGCGCCAGAAACTCCAGCTCGCCGCCGCGGTGGTCGCGAGCCCGATCGAGCAAGCCGCCGGCCGTCGAGAGGTAGAAAGGACCGAGAAGAACGACTGCCGCTGCGGCGACTCGACGTACGGGCCGTCGTAGTGGGAAGGAAAGTCTTGCCGAGTCGCATAGGTGATAAACTTGAGCCGTGGCGAGAGCCCACGCTTGGCCCACACCTGCCGGTCGCCGCCGGTCGTCGTCTCCACAGTCTCGGGCACCAGATCCGAGACAAACTCCCACATCACCGCCGCAGCCTCGGGCGACGAGAAGATGGTCCGCCGCCCGAGCTTGCGCTCCTCGGCCTCGGGATCGTCGGCCCACCGCCGCCACATGACCGGGTGCGACGATGCCCGTTCGCCAAAGCCCTGCTCGATGAGCGCTGCACACTGTGCCGCCGTCAGCACGCCATCGCTCACCGTCACGCCGTCGACTCCATCGACCGCCCGCGTTGTCACCCCCGTCGCGCCGTCTGCCGAGTCCTCACCCGCCCGTCCGGGCAGCTCGAGCTCGAGCTTGTCTTTGAGGATCTCGTCAGAAACCGCAAGTCCGGTGTACGATGCCATTACTAAGCAGTTGCTAGCACGGTCAAGCAAGAGGATTGGTTACGTTGTGGTGTTATTGAGACCGACGCTGGAGTTGTGGATCCGATGCGCGGTCGGCTTTTGAGGCCAAATGACACTCCCCATTTGGGGGGGGGGGGGGGGGGGGGGGGGCGGCTCGGCGAATCCATTACGACTCGGCCGACCGCTCCTTGGCAAACTGCTCTTGGAGCTCCTTCTGGGTCTGCCCATCCACGGGCCGGAACTCGAGAAGCTCCATCGAAAACTCGCCCTTGCCCTGGGTCGCCGACCGCAGATCGGTCGAGTAGCCAAAGATCTGGTTGAGCGGAACGTCGGCGACAAGGCGGACGTAGCCGCCCATCGTCTCCGAGTTGGTCACCACGCCCTTGCGCTGCGCAAGCTGGCCGGCAACCGCGCCCTGGAACTCGGACGGCGCCTCGCACTCGACCTTCATCACAGGCTCGCGGACAATCGGGTTGGCCTCGAGGAACGCTGTGCATCGAAAGGAGCAAGAAAAACAAGGCATGAGGAAAGGTGAGTAGCGGACAAAGGTGAGAATAGCTGGAAGGGGGGGCCGGGGGGGATGAGCTTGGCGCTCGGCCGCCGCAGGTGGTGACTTGTCTCAGATCGAGGAATTCAAATCGGAATCTCATCATCGGGACCTTGCGCTTCGCGTGGCGGCAACAAACTCGCCACACACAAGGATCCACTACGAGATTTGGCAGTCATCACTGACAAGCCACCACCACGGCCTACGGGCCGCCTAGGAATAGGGAATAGGGAAAGGAAAGGGGGGAGGGGGGGGGGGGGAGGCAATGGCATATACGTACCCTCCTGGAAAGCGGAGCGGGCGGCGATCTTGAACGCCATCTCGTTCGAGTCGACAGCATGGGCGAGACCGTCCTGGAGAACGACGCGGACGCCGACGATGGGATGGCCCGTCAGCGGACCCTTCTCGACGGCTTCGCGGAAGCCCTTCTCAACAGCGGGAAGGAACTGCGGCGGAATGTTGTTGCCGACGGTGGCGTCCTCAAAGACAAAGGTCTCGCCATCAGCGACCTCCTCGTCGGTCAGCGGCTCGATGTAGCCGATGACGCGGCCAAACTGGCCCGAGCCACCCGACTGCTTCTTGTGGGTGTAGTTGAATGGAACCTTGGTCGTGGCACCCTCGTTGAACGAGACCCGCGGGCGGCCGGTCTCGGTCTCAACGCCGTACTCGCGCTTGAGGCGCTCGACATAGACCTCGAGGTGGAGCTCGCCCATGCCAGAGATCACGGTCTCCTTGGTCTTATCGTCGTACGAGACCCGCAGCGTCGGGTCCTCACGCTGGAAGCGGCCGAGGCCCTTGGAGAACTTAGCCGAGTTGGTCGACGACTTGGGCTTGATAGAAAGCGAAATGACCGGGTCCGGCACGTGCATCGAGGTCATGGAGAGCCACACGTCGCGCGACGACGAGAACGTGTCGCCCGACGCGCAGTCGACGCCAAAGGTCGCGCAAATGTCGCCGGCGCCTGCCACCGTAATGTCCTCCATCGACGCCGCGTGCATCCGCACCAGGCGGTTGACCTTGACCTTTTCGTCGCGCGAGACATTGAACACAAAGTCGCCCTTCTTGAGTGTACCCTGGTACACCCGCATGTACGTCAGCGTGCCGTGCGGCCCGTCTTCGAGCTTGAACGCCAGCGCAATGAGTGACTTGGACGCATCGGTAATGAGCTCGACCGAGGCCTCGTCGTTGCGCAGGTCGAGTGCCGTGTTGACCACGTCGAGCGGCGATGGAAGGTAGTCGACAACGGCGTCGAGCAGCGGCTGCACACCCTTGTTCTTAAATGCCGAGCCCATGAGGACCGGCGTGAAGTTCATGGCAAGCGTCGACCGCCGGATGGCCGCCTTGATGTCCGCCACTGACGGCTCCTCGTCGTTGAGCACAATCTCCGCAATGTCGTCGTCGACATCCGCCAGCGCCTCGAGCAGCATGCCGCGCTTGAGGTGCGCGTCGTCGACAAGCTCCGACGGGAGGCCCGAGAGGTCCGACGAGTACACCGGCCGCGCGCCCTGGTCTTCCGCCGCAAACGTGATCGCCTCCATCGTCACCACATCAATCACGCCCTTGTGCTCGTCCTCCAGCCCAATCGGGACCTGGGTCGCAGCCGCGTTGAGCTGCACCTTGGACCGCAGCTGCTCGATGACCGTGTCCGGCTCGGCGCCTGCGCGGTCGAGCTTGTTGATAAACGTGATTCGCGGGACAGAGTACCGCCGCATCTGCTTGTCCACCGTCATCGTCTGCGACTGGACGCCCGACACGCCGCAGAGCAGCATGACCGCTCCGTCAAGCACGCGCAGCGCGCGCTCGACCTCGATTGTAAAGTCGACATGGCCAGGCGTGTCAATGATGTTGATGTGCGTGTCCTCCTCAGCATCACGCCGGCGCCACTGTGTGTACGTCGCCGCAGATGCAATCGTGATGCCCTTCTCACGCTCCAGGTCCATCGAGTCCATCGTCGCACCCTTGCCCGTCTTGCCGCGCACCTCGTGCATCTCACGGATCCGCCCGGTGTAGTACAGCACACGCTCGGTCACCGTCGACTTGCCGCAATCCACATGCGCCGCAATTCCGATGTTCCGCATCCGCCGCGGCTATTGTCCATCGTCGTCGTTCAAAGACTCAAGCGTGAGTATGCTCCCCCTCCCCCTCCCGCCGACATGCTGCAAAATAATAAGCGCGTCATCGGATCCGCTCGTTTGATTTGTTGCCAGCCATCCACAGCCTCGCACCCCCCCCTCCCCGGCTCCCAGCCCTCGCCTACGCTCAATCGCACGTTCTCGCCAAGGTCGAGAAAAGTAGCCGGAACACGTGACGTACGTCGATAACACCGCCTGCTGTCGTCGACATGGCTGCCGCCCGGAAGACGGTGGCTGCCATTGACGGTGCAGTCTGTGTGGCGAGGATGCAGCGGCCCACCAGCCCAGCTGCCCGCCACATTGTTTGAGTGATGAGAGAAATGTGGCCCAACGACGGCTCCTTTGCCTTCGGCAGCCAGCCATCGGCCGGCACAGCCGCAGTGGCTGAGCCAAAGTCAATCTATGAATCGCCTCTCCCCGCAATCGTTGCCATCAAGCGCACAAACACCATGGTCGCGGTGTTTACCTCTGACCGCGCAAACTCGAACCAGATCGTCACACAGTCAACCGCGGGACCGATAACCGCCTCAGGCCCTCCATCGCGAGGTGTGCATAAAGTCATACTGGCGATACATCCGATGGAGGGTGGCGAGCTTGCGCGGGATCGGATGCGAGGTGAGGAGGAGCATGCGGATGTCGTCCTCAAAGCGAGAGCGCACCGAGGCTGGCAGCCGGCGGGCAAGGACCCAGAGCTTGTGGACGAGAATAACGAGCGCGCCGTGCTCAAGGAGCGAAAGCGACTCAGTCTCGGCCATGTTGTCGTTGAGCATGATCTCAACGCGGCGGACGGCGAGTCGCAGCTCGCGATGGAGGCTGCGGGTCGACGCTGACTGGGCTGAGGAGAAGACAAGGCCCGAGGTTGCGCGGAAGAGCCAGCCAAAGACGACGAGGGCCGGGATGGCAGCAATGAGCTGAAAGTTGAGCTCATTTGAGCGCATGATCTGGTCAAGGGCCGCCATGGCCCGGTCGACGTCGACCTTTTGCTTCTGGACCTGGATGAGGATGGTCCGCAGCATCGAGCCAAAGAGCAGGCCGGCAATCGGCTTGCGGATGCCGGTCTCGTACTCGCGCATGACGACAGTGATGTCACCGGCCTCGGCGGCGGCGAGAACGGCGTCAACATCGGCGTCGTTGCGGTGCTCGACCACAAAGTCGGCCACCATTCGCTTGAGCGACTCGGTGTCCGCCATGAGCGACTGCGCGGACATGAGGCCGACCTTGGATGCGTCGTAGCGGATCGTGGCGTAAATGTCGCGGAGAGGTTCGACCACCCGCCGCTGGACAAAGACCACGCTCGTCTCCCACATGTCGACCATCGACGCTGCAATTGACGCCCGTCGCTGGAAGACCTGCCGGTAGAGGACAAAGGCGCCGACGGCGCCAACGAGGTAGTGCGGCCACCGCCGGAACCAGTGCGACGGGATCCGCAGCGGCTCGTGGAGCTCGTCGAGCACCAGCCCGCAGTGCGACGCCTCAGCGATGGCCCCCAGCAGTGGAAGGTACATCCGGACACGCTCCGCAGACGCCGCTGCGCCTGGTGCTACCAGCCGGTCGTCCGACGACGACGACGCGCGCTTCAGCTGCTCGCTCTCTGCCACCGCCACCAGTGCCGTGAGATCATCCAGAAACTCGGCGTCGCACGCGTACCGCACCGCCGGCGGCGCCTCGAGTGCCGCAGATCGCACCCCGGCTGCCATGTCCAGCACGGTCACAAGGGTGAACCGCGTGAGGTCGTTGAGCACGGCTGCCGTCGGCGCCGCCGCGCACACCCGCGAGATCGACGACACAAGCATGACGCACCGCCCCAGATGTGGCAGTAACGTGTCCTGCAGGCGTGCAATGCCGCTGAGTGTGTCGCGGACAGAGACCTCAGTCGAGAACGCCACCTCGCCGGCCCGCCACCGCTGGAGAAACCCGATCGGCGAACGAATTCGGAGCGGCACCGCCCGCCCCAGCCACGCCACCACGCCTTCACGCCGCCCGCGCCGCCCATGCCGCCCTTCGCCGCCGACATTGCCGCCGCTCTCGGCTCCGCCCGCGCCCGCGCCCGCGGCACCCGCCGCCTCATCACCGGCTTCGCCGCGCAGCCGCGCCGCCACACCGCCAAAGATGCGGACTGGAAGCGACTGAAACCAGAATGACATGGGCGACATGGCCTGGGCTTGCCAGTAGCCCTCCTCCCGGAGCAGATCAACCGAGTGGTCGAGGATGGCCTGTGTGATGATGCCGAGCAAGACAAGCCCAGCCTTGACGTACAGCACCACCTCTGCCGTCCGCAGCGTTGTCATCCAGTTCACCGAGTTGCTCGCCGAGACCACATCACACGCCTCCTTGACCGCCCGAATGATCGAGGTGAGGCCCGTGAGCAAGTTGCACGAGTCCAGCGCCACCCACGCCCGCAGCATCACCACCGCCGTCTCAACCTCCTCGGCAGCTGCATCACCGGCAGGAGTGCCGACGCCAGCAGAACCACCCGGAGCCGAGGCCTCGCCAGCAGCATCAGTAGATCCTCCACCCGAAGCCAGAGCTTGGAGTGGCTCGAGCGGGAACGATGCGGCCAGAGCAGCATGGGCCTCTTTGACGGCCCGCAGCGAGGGAGGGAGCTTGGCGTGATGCGGCGGCATGGCCACAAAGCCACCGTCTGACCCATGGGCTTGCATGCTCGACGTCGGCGGTGCAGCAGACATCCGCACAGCGAATGGCAAGCACGCGCAGTCAAGTGGCCTACGTTCTCCTCGCTTGCCAACAGCAACCTCTGCCTCCGCCCTCCCCTTCAACTCACCTGCTCAATGCTGAGTTGCCTGACGCGTCGTCGACCGCCCTGCCACCACCGGACCGGCCGACCACTCCACACCTCTTGCCCCCGCGACAGATCAGATCGGCCAACCCGCTGATGCTGTGGCTATTGAGCACACAGGGCTAATCCAGGTGTATCCTCTCTTCCAACCCCACCCCAAGGCTGCAGACCTGAGTCATCGTCTCGCCGGAGAGTACATAGCCTGGAGGTGGGGACGACTTGGTCGACGGCGGAGGAGCAAAGGTTTTTTCGTTTACCTCGATGAAAGGGTGTGGTGGGACGAGCCGAGCCGAGCCGGTGCAGATCGATCTGTCCTCGGCTCAAGAGGCCTTGGTCTTCTGAGAGGCCTCAAACTCGGCGCGAGCCTCCGCAGCGCGGGCGGTGGCGCGCTTGATAAAGCCCGGAGACGGCTCGTAGCCGAGGTGCATGATGATCTCGAGCATGACAAAGTACGGGGCCATGAGGAAGGCCTGCGCGAGGTTGTCGAGAAGAGCGGGTGCGCGGCCCTCAAAGATCTTGTGCGCGGCGATCTGAGCAACCCAGCAGCCGATGTGGATGCCTGCGGCAGCCTTGAGGACGAGCTCACCGGGATAGGTGGCGACGAGGTGGTTGGCAGCGGCGTTGCCTGCGACGACGAGGGCAGCCGCAAGGAAGCCGGCCTTATGATCGAGCACGATGTAGTACAGCACGTAGACAAGCGTGCCGACAAGGGCCCAGTTTGCACCAGCATACGGCGCGACTGCAGGCGGGAGTGCGGAATCGACGGCCTCGGCCACGGGCCCAGGCAGAGCAAGCAAGGCGAGCATGGCCTGGCCTGTCCACAGCAGCGGCCATACACAGATAATATGAACCGCAACATTGATGGTGTCCGAGTGGTAAGAGGCGTAAAAGGCAAAGTTCTTCTCCAGGTAGCTCATGATGACAAGACTGCGTGCGTATGGTTAGAGGGGAGGGAAGGGGGGGGGGGGGCGGGGGGGGTGAGGGAGGGGGAAGACTCGGGTACTAGACATTCTT